GTTTGTTAATAATATATATTCTACTGCGCGAAATAGACCAAAACATTCCCCAGTAAATACTGATGATTCGGGAGGTAATTTAATTTTTTGTACAATATTATACTGAGAATGAAATACTCCAACCCCAACACAACTATTATTGGTATGTTTAGAAGCATCACTATATATATAGTGCCAATTCTCCCAGTTATTTTCAATAATGAATTTAAAAGCTGTATGAATTTCTATTTCATCTTTTTTTATTCCAACATTGAGTTTTATGGAGGGTGTAAGAGTCAAGATTTTATAATCGGTTTCAAACAGTGGAAGAGTTTTGGAACGATACATGGGGGCTTCAATAGCAAGATATTTTTGGTAACTTTTAACAAGACATGGCAATTCCTTGAGTTTCCAATACGAAGATGAATTAATGACTTGACATAAGGTTTGTAGTTTTGTTATTATAGGATGGTTTAAAATTTGTAAACAACGAAACAGGAATCTATCAGCTAAATATTGTCTTCTTAAGTGGAGCGGCGGATCTCCACATTCTAATTGAAGAGCATTAATGGGACTGGATTTCATTGCACCAGATATTATTCGTAACGCTTTTGATTGAATTAAATCGATTTTTTTAAGACCAGATGCGTTACAAGGTTCCAATAAAAATGTACCATAATCTACAATGCTTCTAATGATAGCGTTGTAAACTAACTTTAAGGAGATGGGGTGCGCACCCCACCATACACCAGAAAGGCATCTTAACATATTTAGTTGACGTTCACATTTTGCTACTACATAATCGAAATGCGGAATGCCAGTAAGTTTTGAGTCCAATATTAGACCTAAAAATTTTGCATTATTCTTAACTGGAATTGGACTATTTTTATAAGAAATGTGGATTTTTGGAAGAACACGTTTTCTGGAAAATATTACAGTGGTACTTTTAGAGGCAGACAATTCAAGACCATTTGATTCACTCCAAATACTCAATAGACGCAAAGAGTAATTTAAGCACTCACAAGCTTTATGAGCAGATTCATCCGAAACATACAGAAGTAAATCATCTGCATACTGTAGAATATTTGCAGACCCATTAAGGAAATGTTCTAAATCATAAGTGTATATATTATAGAGTAATGGACTAAGAACAGAGCCCTGGGGTAATCCTTTCCAAGTCGTCCTGGATATTTTATGTCCATTTTCTAAAAAAATATGTATAGTCCTCTCATATAACATGTTATAAATGAAGTTAATGAATATTTTTGGAACTTTTAAATCAATTAATTTCTGCCGTAACAGATGCGGAAGAACACTATCATATGCAGAATTTATGTCTAAAAACGCAGATAGAAGGAAATTATTATTTGTGAACGCCAGTCTTATATCAGTAGTTAAAATACTCAAGCTATCTATCGTACCTCTTCCTTTCCTAAAACCAAATTGACTGCTTGCTATTATATTTTTGTTTTTTCAGCAAGCCATTCAAGCCGGTTTTTCACTAAATGTTCTGCAAGCTTACCTATTACAGATGATAATGCTATTGGCCTGTAAGATGTGGCCTCAGTAGAGAGTTTCCCGGGTTTAAGAATAGCAATGATTTCCTGTGTTTGCCAAGACTTTGGTATATTGCTAGTTGCTATTATGGAATTTAAAAGATTTAAAAAGTAAGACAAAATTTTTTCGTCTAAATTTGAAATAAAAGAGTATATAATACCATCCTCCCCAGGGGCAGAATCCTTAAGATATCATAATATGCCTTTTAATTCTGACATAGAAAACTGCGAGGCTAATTCGGAGGGATCGCTTAAATTACACTCTAAATTTGAGTGGCGAAATTCTGGAGCAAAAGGGGGGGCAAGTCGGTCTGTAAAATCTTCAGCAAGATCTATTGGAAGAGATATTGAGGGAGAACTAATTTTACTACATCTGAATCGTCTGATATTTTGCCAGAGAACTGAAGGATTAGTATTAGGAGAGATCGATGAACAGTAATTTTTCCACCCTTCGATTTTCTTCATCTTTAAAATTTTGTGTGTGTTGGTACTTATAACTTGAAAACTTTCGAAATTTTCTGATGTCATAGATGAACAATATTGTCTTTCTGCAGTCTTTCTTTTTTTAACAGCTTCAGAGCATTCTTTATCCCACCATGGCGGGGGTGAAGCTTTTTGGTAGGTATTTTCTTTTAAAGGAAAAGCTTGTTCCGCAGCGTTATTAAGAAAATTTACAAAAGCATTATAGGAGTCAATTTCATAAAATTTTTGGACATCTGGCAAGGTAGAAACGTTCTGTAGTGTGTTGCTTTTGTAAGTATGCCAGCCTTTAATACTTAATCTGTATTTCATACGTGAACGCGGAACTTTTTGATTTGGAAGGTTATAGAAAGGAAACGAAATAATTATTGGAAAATGATCACTGCCATAAGTAGAAGACAAAATGTCCCACTCTAGAACAGAAGAAAGATTGGGAGTACATATAGATAAATCTACAGCACTCACACTCTCATTCGGTTCTGTACGTCTTGTCGGCTTTGAAGTATTTAGAACACATAAATTATGATGATCAAGGATATCTAACATTAGATCTCCATTAGGATTAGAAAAAGAGCTACCCCAGGATTGATGATGACAGTTAAAATCACCCATAACCAAAAATGGCTTTTTCAGTGAAGATAAGAGATGATTAACTTCATTTAAAACTTGTTGAGATGGGTGAGGAACATAAATAGATACATAACAAACATTATTGTATGAAATCGCAATTGCCGAAAAGTTATCAGAGTGTGGAGGCAGTGGAACATACGTGAAAATAACAGTTTTTTTAATTAAGATTGCTACACCACCATATCCATCCAATCTGTCTTTTCTATGGCAAATGTATCCTTGCATATTAAATGATAAATTTGGCCGCAGCCAAGTCTCCGAAAGAGAGATAAGGAAAGGATTAAATTTGTTAATCAAATATATCAATTCGCTTCTTTTATTAACTATGCTCCTGCAATTCCATTGTATAACTTTGGCTTGATTGTCCATTGTTAAGAATTTGTTTAAGAATATCAAATGTTTGAGCAACGTTGTTCGGTGAAATTATTTTACTTAGTAACAAAGAATTAATTAAAGGAATTACAACATCTGTAAATATGTCTTGTTTTTCATTCCCATTGGGTGTTAATGCACATCCGTTAGACGACATTGGGATTTCAAAGTCCTTAATTAGAGCTTGATGAGCTGCTTTGTCATAGCCTTTGTTGAAATGGGGAAGAGGTCGAGTTTTTAAAGAAACTGTCTTTTTATATGAGTTTTTCAATGGTTGGTTAATATGTGATGACAAAGAATGTTGTGGCCTCATAGACTCAGCTGAATATGTGCTAGAGGGAACAGATTTAAGAATGTCAACATAAGACTTAGTGACAGGGGGGAGCATTTTGGAAGCCTCTGCATATGAGATGCAGTTTTGTGCCATGGTCAATTTTATTTGTTTTTGTCTAGCCCATTCAGGACATGATTTGCTAATAGCAAAATGTGACCCAAAACAAAGGAAACAGAAAGCACAGTCATCATCTTTATTGCAAGAGTCACTTGTATGAACATCTCCACACTTAAAGCAGCGTGGTTTGGACCTACATTGAATTTTAGTGTGACCATATCGACAGCAGTTGTAACATTGTATAGTAGGATATGTGTAAAGTTCGACAGATAAAGCATTATAGCACATATAAATGTGTTTTGGAAGAACCTGACCATCAAATGTTATAACTACTGTCTGTGAAGGTTTCCAAACTGGAGACCCATCAACAGTTGTTTTATAATTTAATCGTCTTATTTTTAAAATTTCACCACAACCCATTGGCACAGTTATGTTATTTTTAATTTCATCTGGGGACCATTCAGCTGGCACTCCTCTTACAATACCCATCCTAGTTATGTTGAAGGTTGGAATAAAGGCTTTTAATTTCTGTGTAGACAAAGAAGGAATGATTAATAAAAGTGTTAGCATCAGTAAAATTGGAAAATGCAAGGGAAATCTTGTTCCTACCAATTTTTTTTATACTGCCATTGATGATATTCCTAAATGCATTTTTTTTTAGAAAATTGCCAAAGGACACAGGGTGGAATGAAGTACCATCATTAAATGAAGATACTTCTTTTTGAACATGTATAATATAAGGTGATAAGTCACTGTTTTGGTAAATCTTTCTATATTCGACACTAAGTTGCTCGGGCTCTTTTGATTCTGTTGTTACTGGTGATGCAACATTATTTAGAATGGTGCTGTTCTCATCACTATCGCAATGACAGGCATGCTTAGTTTGGTCATTCTTAGTACCAGAATGACTGCTCCTTCTTTTTTTATTGCAATGTTTGCAAATTTTCTGCAAACGTGAGCGTTTTCTAATGATAAGAGTATTCGACGCATCAGTGTCCATACAAGACTCGCCATTAGAAACTTCTACATTGTACGCAACCTCGGGGACTCCACCCCCGGGATCAGGGGGTTCATTCATTATAATAAAATATATAAAACTTACCTAGGTATAGAAATTAAACTATTACTATTAATAATTAACTACACAAAGTAAAAAAATTACATATATACACAAAACTTCTCTGATTATTATCACTAAAATTAAATAAATGTGATTTAGAGAAAAAAACGCGCGCTTAGCTTTCAAAGTTTCCCGCCCTTTTCCTATCATAAATTAATCGATTTAAACTTTCTTGACAATGCACATCCCTAATGCTATTTCATTCACTATTCGTTCTTTAACTCGATTGACTCACTCTTTAGTTCAGAATAATTCCGTCCGATATATATCATATATTTGACTTATCGGATTTCGGACTTCCGTACTGGGTGAATGTGTTAGTGGTTGAAATGTGAAAATCGTGTTTTTTCATCGCAGTTACAAAATGAAACAAATAGGGAAACATTAATTAATTTAGATTTAATTTCGTAACATGAAATCTCGTATTTAGCGTAGTAGCATATTATTCATAGTTCCATATTATTGTTCTAAAATGGCACGGTTTCTATCAAAGGATAAATTAGAAGGATTTGAAATATATAAGGTAATATTTATTATATACCGTATATAAGATATATTTTACGAGAAAAATGCGTCAAAATCTTAAATTACTGGTTGCTTACGTTACTTTCTTTTAACATATGATATTTATATATTTATGCGAAAATTAAAGTAAATCTTTTATGGTGTAGCTAAGTTAAGATAATAATAAAGTTAAGGTCTTAATATTTCAGTACAACTCAGTGGACACAAGTATACTCAGCAATTATGTTATGCATCCATTTTGGAACTGGTGTGTTCAGGTGAGATATACATTTTTGAGTTATTTATTACAGCACTTATTGTAAATAAGTTAATTACTTGTATTGACATAACTTTGCAGCCAATAGTGTGTAAATCATCGCCAGGCTGTGCTAACATTAATTGAGAATGTCATCTGTTAACAAATATTAACATGTTTGCAGTTTTGCCCGGTGTGGGTGGCACCAAACCTCCTAACTTTTAGTGGCTTCCTACTGACGGTCCTTAACTTCCTGTTGTTCTCCTATTACGACTTTGGATTCCATGCCCTCACCGAAGAGAATATTACCAACGATCACATTCCCAATTGGGTTTGGGCCGTCACTGCAATCAACTTGTTCACAGCATATACTTTAGGTGAGCATGATTAATAGCAACAAATTTTCAAAATAATTTAAGTTTGATTTGTTTAGATTTAAAATTTTTAATAAATCACAAACTAAGATTTGACTTCAAAAAATGTCATTTAGAGAGTTTAAGAATGACAATGACAAGAATATAGTAAGAAGCAGTCCGTAACATAGCAGTATTTATGTTTTACACAGAAAGGCTTGCGGTACACCTTATCATATACTTTAATATAAATAGCAGAGGAGAGATTTCACATATTGGTATTAATTATTAGGAATTTTCATTACATTAGAACACATAGCCAATCTCTTTCAATCACATTAACGGTTTTAAAATGAAGTTGAGAGGTTAAACTTCCTGCTGTTTTAACTTGTCTTAAACTAGACAGAGACATGAATTTTAATAAATTTTAGTATATGAACTGCGATAACCTTTTTGATAGGATAATATTTTTACTTAAAGTCATGGATGACTAAAATGATTAATTAGTAAAAATTAATTAGGCCATGTTTGACCATTACCACTATTCAATTCAAGTTACATTCACACTTCAAGTCTCCAGTCCAGATGTACCACATATCTGGACCTGCATTTTAATAGGAGACTAACAGGGGTAAACCGAATAAAATCCAAGAGAACAGAGGCAAATCCCAAACATTTTCCCGATTCACAGGGCGTTAGTCGCGACTTGCACTCGACAATAAACTAGTTGTTATAATACTACTAGATATAAATGTTATTGTTTTTTTACGGACCGGTCGTATCTATACGTATGTATGCGTTCCTTTGGAATAAATACAACAGAAATACTTGTCTTGTGGGGAAATGAACCCATTACCCCCTGTGCAGAAGCCAACCGAGCCACCAAGCATCCCTCGTCCCTGCTAGTGAGTGCAACTTAGAAATATTACAGAGATATTAGAGAGTACAGTTTAGGCTTAAGAACACTTCCTAGTGCACATTGGTTTGTAAGAAACAATGATACATTAATACCTATAATTGCCATTTGTCAAGGAAGAAGACCAACTACTGAAGCATTTACAAAAAAAAAATAATAAAACAGCAACCTTATGGCTAACGACTATTAGATTAGATACGAGAGTATAACGCCTAAAAAGATAGCAATTGACTGAATAAAATATAATAAATTAAGGAGCTATTCACCATAATAATCCTAAGCACCTCTGATTGAAGTAAACATCTGATAAAAGTCGATTGTAGATACAAATGAGAGAAAAATCGAAAGAAATTCTATGTTGGACAACGGTCCAGCATAGGATTCCTTTTTAATGCTAATGATCACTTATTACGAATATTAACGAAGAGTGTCAATTGCATAGATACTCGTATGTAGAATGTAACACTGCGCGTTCGGAATATCGTCTAAATCACCGATATATCTAAATATTAATCATTGATTCTTATTCACTTGCATCAGAAAGTACCCATTTTCCTTTCCCAAATCGCATATATGAATGAATAAAATATAATATTATAATATATTATATTAATATATAATAAGCTATAATATATTATTAATACGCCTAGGAAGTGCGATATATTATGTACGATTCGGTGACTGAATTTGAAACATAGTTACAAATCAAAATACCGCTATTACGTTAACATATTATGACTGAGGTAAAAAAAAAACAAATGATTGTTCACGTGGCGGCCGCAACGGTATCGGATGTTGGAAAATGTGCGCGTAATTTTAAAGTAATGGCGCGTGCTTTGATATTTCCATCCAGGGCATCATTGTCTCGCCATGCCGCGTACACGTGTTCTGTCCGGTGACATTTGCTTCACGCTACGGATAGGCTTATGATCAGCTTGCGATCGGTTTTCGATGCGATATGTTAACACCAAATTTAAGTATAAGCACGTCGTGCACTTTTTGATTGTGCTGTTCATCAGTAATATGATGAATGGTATGATGATATCGCTAGCGGAGATTCAAACCAGATGACCCTTTCAATACAAACAATTAGAATCGTTAGAGCTTCACTAGCGGTGGTCAGCAAGTCCATGGCTTGTGGTGTTATATACAGCATAATAACTTCAGCAGTTATTTGGGAGCTCAAACATCCATCAACTTCCGTGATACAGTAGATCTATGATACTAAATCAATCGTGACACATTTATTTTGAAAAGTAGAGTTACCTATGAGGAAAATAGTGACACACCTGCTATACCATAGTGAGCCAGTTCCAATTTTTTACCCCAAATTAGCAGTGTTTGAATAATTTTTACCCCACTGGCAAAGAAGGGCAATGTTTTTCGAACGTATTTAACTATATATGTCTATTTCTTTGAACCGCTGTTCAGCCTATTACTAACTTAAGTGGGCATTAGATAAGTCTCATTTGTGAGAGTGACATAGGATGTATTATTGCAATGACGTGTCCGACGGAAGTAAACTGAAGAATAACTAGTACTTTTAGTGCAATGCGGTTTTTTGTGTCGTACTGCAACTTGTAAGTTTAAGTACAAAATATCGGCACACGACTTGCTTGCGTTATGAAACGATATTTGTGAAAATTTTCATTATTAGTGTATGAACAATCGAAACGAAACTTGTAGGCCAAGGCAAGGTTTTTTGTAAACATTTATATATAAGTCTTAACTATAATTTACGCCTTGACAGAAGCGCAAACTCATTGAGTAATAAATTAAGCAATAAAAGTTTTCAACGGTGTATTGATCGTTTTGTAATTATTATCAAATAATATTTCATTGATAAATCATATTCCCACTCACCGATCTCTGCCCAGCTCCTAAGCGTTCTTTGATTGCGCCTCCGGGAATGAATAGAGAACACGCAAGTCTATTTTATTATTTTTGTAAAAATAATACCGACTTCAAATATCTCGCTTTGTATTCAATTTATAATTGATTTTTAGGAATTCCCTAAGTATCCCCGGAGCCCAAGCTCCAATAACAATGAAATTAATATGAGACCACATGGGAAGCACCAGCTTTCAAATAAAAAAAAATCGTTACTCAGTCGAAAGTTCTGTTGTAACAAACATAAAAAATACATTCGAATTGGGAACCTTCTCCATTTTTGAAGGCGGGTAAAAACACCCAATCATGCAAACTTAGCTCCCTGCTACAATGGTAGTGATAGACGACATGATAGAGGACTGTGTCTTCTAAGGATTCAGGTCCTTCTATTACCACCACCAACTATTATTACTATTATTATTATTATAACTTATTTTGAATGAAATGTATATTAATTATAATTATATAATATTTTTCGGACATTTTTTATCCTATGCAGAATTTTCACAAACATTTATATAACTATAGATTTCCGACGTGAAACCTTGTTTCGACGAATTTCATATGAAACACTGGTTGAGGTTAATGTCTGGCTTTGGTAAACACCGCTACCGATACGATGAGATAATTAAAATTTTATACAGGTCATACTTGAATTCATCAGCATAATCACTGAAGCCTGTTTTAATAGTTAGACATAGGCCTCCTCGATAGACTGGCACGATCCTGTGCCACCTACGCCCATCCACTTGACATGCGGGCGAAAATCGTTTTTGAAAAATGCCTTTATCTTCATCTAATACCGAATCCTTAATAAAGCTGTTAACCACTTACCCAGCAATGGGGTAATCAGTTATATATTATTTTTATTAATTTTGAACGCTGCTTGGTTATCCAACCATGCTTTTTTTATCGAGATTTGTGGTTTCTCTGATTAGAGTAATAACTGAGCGTTAGGGCGATAAGGTTTGTCATGTGAGGAGGGTCATTTCGGTCGATTGTCGTAGCAACACTAAAGTAGTTGTAAATTGTGTAGTTCTCTACGTCTATATAGACGAAGGATATCCTTCATAGACCCTAATTATATGTAATCACTACATAGTATAAAACAAAGTCGTCCCGCTGTCTGTCTGTTCCTATGTATGCTTAGATATTTAAAACTGTGCAACGGATTTTCAAGCGGTTTTTTTTACTAGATAGAGCGAGATTGCACATTGCACCCGTGCGAAGCCAGGGCCTGTCACACTAGTAATAAATAAAGCTCAAACGCGTCTTTCTAGATCTCCTGGTCATAGTTGTAGGTATCATGGCAGTTACACCAAGATACAAAGTTAACTTGATCAATGATAAAAAATATTATGAAGGCTTTAATAGCGACGCATACAATTAATAAATAAGAAATAATGGGTCATAGGACGTGGCCAAACTAAAACAAAGTAAAACTCCTTGTATGAGTTAAATTATAAATTGTATGAGTTAAGTTATAATTATAAAAAATGTTATTTTGTTATATGTAACGTGTCTACATCCATATGCATTTTAGTAAAAAGCGGTTATTTTAATATTAAAAAACAGACACACCAATTTTATTTATTTGTATATATTTTGGACATTGTAGAGGCAACACCTTCCAATATGTTGCTATTGCGATTTTACTTGTTTCATCATCAACAAACGTTCAAAGAATCACATATCGAATTATTTTTTGGCTGTTATATACAAAATATTCAAGTTTGCGCTTGCGGTGTATCCTTTACCAATAAACGGCTACAATTAACAAATTTCATTGGTTCCGGCGCCGGGATTCGAACTCAGCTTGCTCTCTTATACTTAATTAAAAGCGAGCGGCCAGACACTGAGCTATCACAGCTATCTTGGTCGAAATGGACTCACGTGTACTTTGGTGAGCTCGTGACGTTCGTTCGGTTGTCAGTTCGTTTTATATTTAACCTTTATCCATTCTACGTCTCATGGGATCGATGAAACTGAGCGGTTTTCGATCTATCGTTATTGTCTTGCCCTTTGTTATCTAACGTTAGCCCGGCGCATAGATAAAAGCCAACAATTTCAACACTGCGCGCATTGTAAATAGGCATTACAAATACGCCTCGCGTCCAGAAATGCGTCGTGTAGAAATGAAATTCTAACATGTTAAGTCACAATTAGATAACGAAATCCGTACCAATTAGGCCAAGCTAAGAGTTATTCGATAAATCGATTATTTCCTGTTACATTTTTAATTAAAAAAATACTTGATCAAATTGCAGTTCAACCACTGTTTTTTTTTTTCATTTTTGGTTTGTTGTTAGTTTGGATCATCCGGTATACCTTAACCTATGTTCCGCGTAACACGGACAATGGAATTAAATTCAGTGGTTATTAACAATAAGTAATATAATTAGATAGTTACATGATTGTTTATTATATGTGTAACTATATTAAAAATGACTGCTTCTAGACATAGTTGTATTGTTACTGCATATCAAACAATTAATAATAATAATAACTAACTACTAACCCTCGGCCGTTTGGTCTCCCCTGCCGAGGGCTTCCGTCTGGTTGGGTCCTATTTATGTATGTATTATATTTATATCTATATTTTTATTTTTATTTATAACATTAATTTTATATATGCAATACAAATATATATATATACACACATATATAGTGCATGCACAAATCTTCTATGAGAATGAAGGAAAATTTATTCTGTAATTTTTCTTACTTATTAATATTATCTTTCCCTTGCAATTTTAAAAATACTGTTTGCCCAATTTCATTTGAGAATTCCATTTTTTTTTATAAATACAATGACCTTCGTTAGTTCACCCTCTGTACCATATTTATATTCATAACAATGACTGCTTATGCATCAATAATACTATATTATAAAATGTAGCTACATTTTAAAAGGCCAAACCGTCACCTTGGCGTTGTTATATAGTTTGCACCTTTTGATTCCAGCTAAAGATATAGTTATAAATGAAACACTAACAAAAGTACAGTCTTATTCTCAATCTTTAAGACTAAGGAACATACTTATTTTAGAGTCATTTTAGGTTCGCAGTCCTCATTTTGTCCTTTATAATGGTTTTTATTAAATTTTAAAGAGCCTGTATGTTAAGTACAGTGTAAAAATACCAAATCTGCTTGTATGTAAAATGTGATTGTTTTGTCGATAAACGCTCATAAACTTTTGGCCCTGTGAATTTCGAATCTGTGTCTCCCAGGTACGCGCAAGGCGCTTTTTTGCCACTTATATAAAAAATCTCACATTTTAAGGCTCATTTTGAGTGCGGAGACTAGCACATTACATGTTTCCGCGCCGGTGAGAACGTGAAAGCTTAAAATAACATTGGTGTCGTCAGATGAAGCTTTAATAGTCTCGGGACTGAAAGCAAAAACATCAGTTAATACAAGATACAAGAACATTGGTGCCGGTCCTGTTTTCCTTTATCTGTGCCATCCCATTTACTTTCATAAATTGGGTTTTAATAGAAACGAGGTCCTTTAATCCTTTTATGAATATCGATTAATCGCAATAGGTAACAACTATGATTTTGCGGTTTATAAATACATTTTGCCATCCTTTTTGAATTAACATTTGTGTTCGTGTTACATGTTACAAATCGGTTTTGAGTCAAATTGTGTAGTCTTACGGTTATATTTTTAGACTCCACACGTCTCTGAATACGTAAACAGGTTTTTTTTATTGTTCAATCCTTGAAATGCGCGACAGTTATTCGCCCAATTTGCAAGATTGCGAACATTCTTCATTCGCAGAGTTAATGTGACCATTTCTTATGATATCATTATTACTCAGATAATGGATACAAGGCATTAAATTAAAAATGTCGTTTTTCCGTTTGTTTGTCTGGAAATTCATTAATAAAAGCTACATTACATGATTTCAATATATTATTTTTATTAAAACGTAACTAAGTTCTTAACTTTCCATTACAGAACCCGGAACAGGTGACACTAAATAAAAGTATATAAAAAATTAAAGTTTATTACTTCATATTTCTCCAATTAAGGGTAAAAGACGTGAGATTTGGTTTTTATTTTCGTGACTTTTCGAAGTAAATAAATAAAATATCTTTATTCACATAGACGCTTGCGCATTCTTACGAAACGTCGAAATTTTACAAGGAAATTAATATGTTCGTAAGTTACCACCGGTTCGGAAAGCAGTTTCTGTTGAGAAGAAACCGGCAAGAAACTCAACAGTTGCTCTTTTTTAAAAGGTCAACTTAAAAGTAGGACAGCACTGTAGTCAATTATATTTTAAAGACTAACGGACGTGCGTCAATGTTTAAAATATCATTGACTATTATACTGCGCGGCTTTTAAAAATTGTTCCGCTTTTCATCATTACATGATATAAGTGAATGTGGCAGATGAAATAGAACATATGATACGGAAAAAAGTAGCAGACTAATGGATTACGACAATTGCTGTAATTTGAGTCTTCGTCATATCTACCTCGTATTGTATACATATAATATCAATGAATGTATGATGAGATTTTGACTCCTTTATCCAAAAAACTCGTGGCTCGAACTCGACAGTTCTATCACAGCTTCTTTTGATTAAAAATTACTCCAACTGTAGGAGCCCGAATCTTTATGTCCCTTGTCGACAAATTATTTTCTAGAGCATTCCATTTTCGGCCGCAGATCCCACAAATGTCAAATTAGGAACTAAAGATGATTAGGTCTGTTGCTATCTTTGTCTGTACTCTGTACCTATTTAAATTACACGTTTGGTGTGACACGATTGTTATCGAACATGACCTTAAAGAATAATTGACACACACATGACCTCTATGACATATTTCTACAGGAAATATTGGTTCCGTCCGTACAGTGAAATGTTTAATTTAATTACTTCTATTTTTATCTGTATGGGATGATTGTATTTGTATTTTTTTGGGCATTGATAGTAAGTGCAAACCCTTGGGTGTAGCAGATGTTCATGGGCGGTGGTATTCACTTAACATCAGGTGAACCACCTGTTCGATTGGCAACTTTTCACATAAAAAAGTCCCAACGACCACTGCGACCTAGAAGATTAGAGAGTAGAGCTATTGTAATCATTCCTTCGAAAACATTGCCCCTTATTGTAGGATAGCATTATCCTATGTTGTAAGGACCTCTTGAAACATACATTTCACGACTAACACCCAGAGCTCAATTATTGTCCGTGGGTCACACAAATAGTTGTATCGTGTTCCAAAGAAGAGAAGACAGAGAGGCCATCTTGGCTACTGCGCCATGCAGTCATCTGAATGGTTTATAAGTCAAAGTAAATCTTTAAATTGCTTTTGTCGTTATTACAATAAATATGTATTTTTAGGTGAAGCTAAGAAATTGTGCAGTTCCAACTCTATTATTCAATGATACATCTCGCTTTGACTTCGTACACTATTAAGGCCCCATCTATACAGAGCTTATTGAACGGCCAGATTCCACGAACTTTGCAAGTGAAACTGCATTCGCCAAGAAGGCAAACGTTTCTTTGATAACACCTTTCACCGCCTGCAATGCGGAAAGAATTTATTTTGCATTGAATATTTGGAGACGCTTAATTCATCCTATTCGCTGTTTTGCAATAAATATTCATTTTATTATACAGAAGGATTAATGCTATCTCGTTTGTGTATGCTTGTGAGCGATAATCTGTTTGTTCCTTTTTTTTTTGGCAATAAATAATGTTACCGAATGCTTAGACATATATTAGCTGTTGTATAAAAATATGATAATGATTTTGACAACATGTGTTAGATCAGTACGAGTTTTGTCTTGTAGAGTATGCGGTTGTAATTGTAATTTTCTCTTAACGTTAATAAAGACTGTTACTGCGCATTTTCAACTATTCATTATATATGAACTTTCTAATTCAAAATTAACGTACTACCGGCTACGAGCACATTCGATTCAATTAAAGTAATTTATTCTCACTTCTTTAACACACTCGTCATTACGGACGTCAATTTGAATTATTAATATTTATTCCAATGAAGCTAACTCTATTCTGAATAATCCTAGGCGTATGTAGCTTTGTACGTCGTTAGTAAAATTTTCAACCATATTTGTTTAAAATTGATATGAATGTTGCGATCGGATTCGTCTACTTTTCGGTTATGGTAGATGCATGCAAATATTACAGACCTTCAACGTTGATAATCGCTCAGTCAGTAATACACTAATTACCTTTAAATCGTTTATATCGGGAGCAGAAGTACTAATTTGTAATACTTGGAACTTTTGATTACAAACATAACGAGCCAGTTATTAGAAATCGGTATCATTTCATCGCCATAGCCAAGCGTGCTGAAGTCAAGTTTGTCAATGAATAAACAAAAGATAATCATCAAACGACTTCTTACTTACGCGATCGAGTTTCGATACTTGGTAACTGACGCCGTAGACTGCAATTTACATGTAATGTACATGGTTTGTATAGGAGCTGGCTGTGTCAGTATGTGTAAAACAAAGCGTCATCTCTAGCTCACTTTCAATTTATCCACGTAGGTACACACTATCGAAATTATTTAATACGGCACCTTGTAAAGCGATCGATCGTCAACGTTTTTGATACTTATGCGTTTTACTTTAAAATATATTTATTTAATGAAACTATTTTACGGATTTTATCGCGTTTTAATCTCACGTAGTAACAATGGTAGCTGCAAGCTTTCATACGCCGGAATGGTTTCGAAATGCCGGTAATCAAAATCAAAATTAAAGTGCGATAAAATCCGTAAAATAGTTGCATTCAATATATGTATCGCATAAAATCAAGAAATCAAGATATATTTTATAACAGAAGCGAACAGTACGAATTTTGTATATAGTTTCTTATTACCAAGTTATTCATTTACCATTGCATGCTTCTATTTGTATATGGCGAACACATCGATATGCAATCATAACGAAAAACAATTTTCAAACCGTATACTTTAAGATGGACGTGCGAAAAGCGTTCGTTTTTCAAATTATATTTTTTTCTCAATTCGTTTGTAGATTGCCATAGCCATTGTTACGCGTTATTCGTTTCCCAAGAGTCTTATTATATAAAAATGAATCCAGACGGCATCGACGGCAAGCAGGCCCGCCGCACCGGCACCAGCGGCCCCTTGGGAGAGCTCTTCGACCACGGCCTCGACTCCTACTCGGCGGTGTTCATACCCACATGCCTCTATAGTATATTCGGAAGGTACGTGTCAATCTGCATATTTGAAGTTATACTTCTTTTGGCGGGTTTAGAAACAAGTCATTAAAGAAAAAAAAAACCGCCTTCAAACAGGAAACTAAAAACATTTTTAATACCTACAACATTTGAGGATTACCCTCGTATTCTCTGGGATGCCATCAACAGATATCTTATGATGGTACCACCCGGGATATCCCCGCCAACAAAACAAGAATAATCAAAATCGGTTCATGAACGACGAAGTTATCCTCTAACACGCATAAAAAAATACACAGTCGAATTGAGAATCCTCCTTCTTTTTTGAAGACGGTTAAAAAATATAACAGTAAAATTTTTACGATTGCGCGCTCACCGACTGGTGAAATTGGTTGCAATGCGATCGATTTCGAGGTATTGCCATGGCAACCAATAACAACTTTTTGATATTTACCTATAATTCCAAGTTATTTAATTAAACTGTTATCATACCAACCATACCAGCTTGATTTTTTTGTTTTGGTGCATTATTTTTTTCTTATTGAGCGCGTGAAAGGCTGTACACATGTTAGGTGCTCCAGGGTTATCTATCATTTCTGGGACACATGTATAATATGTATATCTCACAAAATAGTAAAAGTTGATAGTAAAGTTATAAATTTAAGTAAGAGCCACTCGTCTATACAGAAGTCTTTGCCCAGCAGTGGGCAAAGACCTCTGTAGAGACTATACCCTAGAGGGTATTAAAATAAGTTAATCAGCATTTTAAAATAAACATCGGCATCAGGATTTGATCTCTGATTGCTCAAGTATAATGAATTATAAGCGGCAGATATAAAAGTTAGTTGATAATATTAATAAATAAAAAAGAAAATTCGATAATCTTCAAACGTTAGACACGTTACAACTAATCTAACATTTATTACGTTTATCGATAAATGCCCTGAAATAAATAATAATTAGATACCGTTTATTGGGTGTCAAAAGCACTTATAACAATTTTACATGACATTTTCTTTTAATGAAAAAGTTGCCAAGCGAGCAGGTGGTTCACCTGATGTTAAGTGAATACCACTGCCCATGGACATCTGTCACACCCGAGGGTTTGCAGATGCGTTGACAATCTTTTGAAAATTGGGCTCCGGCTACCTCACTCACCAGACGAAACGCGAAAGTATTATACTTTCACTTAACGCCGGTCTTCTGTGAGGTCGTGGTACTTATCCGGACGAGTTTGCCCATTCGTGCAACAGCCGAGGCTGCTGCATGGCCCTACCACTGTAAATACATATGACGTCATCAGGGTTACTGCCCTGCTCGAATTTTATTTGGTATTTAAATAAAGTCATCAAGTTCGGATTTCGCTTCTTGATGCAGGGACGAGATAAGCCCGCTGAGATTTTTCTTCATAATATGGAACATCTTCATCAACTTCTATCTGACGCATTGGGAGAAGTACAACACGGGCGTGATGTTCCTGCCCTGGGGTTACGATTTCACAATGATCGTAAGACTTTTATATATTCTTATTTATTTATTTACTGTATAAATACATGAAGAAGAAACTTTGATTCCTTCATATGGATACTGCGAATAATACAGAATGATTTTTAGACGAAGTACATGCTTTTACACAATGTTAATTTAGCATTGCATAATTAAAAAAAATATTGATACTTTATTTTGACAAGAAATAACCAGAAAAATATCAATTCAAACATTGTTTGTTTATCCCGTTAAGAGTGGTCACCCTATTGATAAGCGGTTTAGTAATTATGCGTTCAGCGAACAGTTTAGTGCTCGTGAATAGGTTATTGGATTGAGACGGTAAGGCGCGCCCTCGGGCAAGATGGGGCGAGGCTGACAGTGGCTGGTAACAACTGGACGCAAGAAGCCGAGGAAAACATAAAAAAACGTACAACCTAATTGAGAAATAGATAAAGTCCGGTAAAAAAGTTTGATTGACTGAGTCTGAGAAGAATAATAATCCATTAAATTTATGTATGAATAACGCTCAAATATCGACCAACAGGCGATAACTAGTATTTAATAATAAGATCCACCAATGTTTGGTTAGTTCACACGAAAACCTAACTGCAATTATTAAATATTAAAAATTTATATGATAAACAAATATGTTTTCGTGTAATGCAGACACAAGCACAAAAGTAAAATTATACTACACATCAAATAAAATTATGGGACCACGGGACCTAACAATAACTCTGTATTAATTTAACTTTACTAACCGCAACGTATTTTGTGATTAAAATTTTATTTAAATAATACACCTCCAAAACAAAACTATCACTATCATTCGTGTCAAACAAATGAAAAAACAAAGTGATTAATTACTTTAATAAAATTTCATCACCATTTAAATGTTAAGTTTTTATAGTGCTGATCTCGGCACTTGAGATGAAAAATGTTTGTAAAGTTTTTCATCGCCGCAGGAATCGAGCCCGCCTCTACCGGCATCGCGCCCAGACACTTTAACCACTTAGCATAACGGCTGATTGCGACGCCGACGAAAATCGATAAAAGAAAAATCAATTTTAGCCCGTTTTAATCCACTGCTGAACGTAGGCCTCCCACACAGACCGCTGACCGCATGCATCGACCACATTTGAACTGTACTGTACTGAGGTGTAGTCCTGCACTGCGTGGCCAATACGAGGCTGCCAATCGAGAACTCTTCTTCCCCGTCAAGTTACACCAGTTTACCCGAAGCAGCGCGCAGGAAGTCCATTCTCGTAGTTCGAGCGCTTTGAAATCCGTTCCGAGCACGGAGCTTCACGATGACGTCACTCGACGTGATGACGTCACAGTGGAGCTGGTAAGGACTCTGCTGGCAGGGGTCGTGCATCCTGCTAATGGTGACGTCGGTGACTGGGCCGAGGGCGTGGCACGCGCCCCTCCCCGGCGGCCTCAGCCCCGGCTTCCTCTTCGAGCTGGTGCTCTACTTCTCCGCGATGCTCACCAGCCAGACGGTCATACTGTGGAACATATACAAGTGAGAACTGCCACGGTCGAAACGCACTGCTGATGATGGACCGGGATTACTGAACCCATCATCATCCTGCCCTTATCCTGCCACGGTTAAAACGTACTGGAGGGTGGATGGGATTACTCACACCATCATCATCATTATTCTCCTGCCGTTATCCCGCCGTTCTCCTGCCGTTGTTCAACTGATGTTAAGTGAAAACCCTCGCCACCTTATAATAATGTGGGCCCTGGCTACCTCCCTCACCGGTCGAAACGCAGAAGTATAAATTTCCACTACCCTTCGGCCTTCTATGAGGTTGTAGTACTCACCCGGACGGACCTGTACATTCGTGCAAAGAGAAGACTGTTGCATGGCCCTACCACAATTAAATACATCAATTAAATATACCAGAGGCAAATGTAATAATGCAACTCTTCTTATTTCCCTCTTTTAGTTTTGACGCTTGATGTTTGAGCTCGCAAATGACTCAACGCGTGTGAACAAATCTGACAAAAAACGTTCTGTCGCCAATGTGTAAGGAGAGTCCTTTGTTTGTTTCGCTGCCTCTCACTCTTACACGTGCACACCGGCCCCCGCAGGTCGTACCGTGACGGTACCGGCAAGATGCGGCCATTTGCAGAAGCCGTCAGACCTTTGGTGCCACTAGCCGCCTTCTTCGTGCTCAGCACTGTGTGGGCGTTGTACTCCCCCACTGACGTCATCAACCGCGCCCCCAGGATATACTACGTCCTCACCGGCACCATCTTCTCCAACATCAACGTGAGTACGCGTGAAACTAGATTTACCCGATCGTTACTCCAACCCGGCATGTAATGTATCACGTCAAAGATATGAGTATTGTGTTAGCTACATTACAGTTTTTGTTTTTGGTACATATTTAACAACACCGCAGTTCAGATTTGTATATTAAATCAATACACTTTATTTAAAAGAAATATAAAAAGATAACTGCGTGCGCGAACGAACAACAAGATTGATCTTTATGGGCGCATAAACGCTACTTCTGCTGCGGTGGCGTTAATACTTTAGCACCGTTTTTATTCTCTTCGTTTAGCAAACGCCTCGTCGAGTTATGTCGGTAGTTTATGAATAATTAAGCGCAATATAAAACGGTAAATGAGTTTTATTTAACATTCCGTTGAATCGATTCGAATGCGATATTATGTCGAATGTGTTATAACCTTCCAAATCGAGGCCCCCCGCACTCGATATAACCTACAACTGCGTCTTTAAATAAGACAGGCCCTTCCTGTTGCAAAGTCAACCAGGGTACAAGGTCACGCGCGTCCGTAACACCAACCCTGGATTGAGAGTCGTGGTTCAAGGTTAAGTGTCCAAACTGCCGACGTCTCAAAAAAAGTAAAAGCCTATATAAGTCCCACCGCTGGGCAAAGGCCTCATCTGTACGGAGGGCATAATCCACCAGGCGACTCCCGATGATTTTCGAATTCCGCTAATCCGCAGTGGTGTCGCGTGGTGGACTATGGCCTAGTACTCTCTGTACAGAAGAGGTCTTTGCCCAGCACTAGGACATACATTGACTATTACTTTAAACCCTATCTACAGAATCTTGGCTCAGGGTTAACGCTTCCCCAAACCTTTCCTCCCTCACCAGTGCCGGCTTATCGTGTCGCAAATGAGCAACACCCGCTGCGAGGCGTTCAACGGCCTGGTGGCGGTGTACGGGGGAGTGCTGATGGCCGTTCTGCTCCTGCAACCCTCGCCAATGGCGGAACTGCTTCTGCTGTCGTTCCTCGCGATCGTCTGCACCGCAGCCCACCTCCACTACGGCGCCAGAGTGGTGCGTATTTCGTGGGCTCTCGCACTCAACTGTGGCAGGGCCAGACAACAGGCTGTTGCACGAATGGGCATGTTGCACAGAACACGCAAAGTAGGCCTGTCATACTTACACTTTTCGTCTAGTGTGTTGCAAATGTCCGTGGGTGGCGGTTATCCCTTGAAATCGGGTGAGCCGCCAGCTCGCTTGTCAACTTGGCATATAAAATATATGAGTTTATAAAACAAATATTTTATTGACGTATATAAAAGATACAATGTTTATAACTGAATTAGAAAAACTTGAATTAGTAATTAGAACTGGTAAACAGATTTTTGAAAATAGAATTCCGACCGGTCTTGAGATTGAAAAGCGACGAACAGGCTCCCCTCGGTTACTATATAACTGAACCGATGTGACGGTCAAGATACGCAGGGAGTATAGTCAGCCAGGTGCCGATGTAAGATGTCGCCCTCTCGCTCACTCCCGCCGGGCTCGCCCAACACGGTGCTGCCAGATGGAAAAATATACTAGCACGGCTCTAAGTCTATTACACCTGCAGCGTTGCAGATGCGTTGCCAATCTTTAAGAAGGGCGCCCCGGTTAACTATCTAAACAAACAAAACGGAGTTATAATATTTTCGCTTCGCGTTGAAATATCTCATTTAAAATATCTAAATTTGCTAAAATCTGTTTGGATCGAGACAAATTCATATTGATAGTTTGAATTTATTTACATTATCCTCTTTGCTATAATTCCAACGTGTACCAAATGTACCAAAAAGCGTTAGTACTTAGATCTTATTTTATGATGATAGATATTTATAGTGCCAATATTGAGAAAGATGTGGAGTAAGAAAAGGAGAAACACTGCGAAAACATTTTTTTCTTTGTAAAGTCTTAATATTAGAGAAAACTCTCTCATAAATAAAGAACAGAGAACCAGTACTTTAATAATTGTCGTTTTAATATTTTATGAATTCGTTTTGAACATTTTAAATATTCTAATTGTCGCATTTCGCATTTTCAGGTACAAGAGATGTGTGAACATTTCAAAATCGCATGCTTTCACATCAAGCCAAAGACAAAATGAAGTGATCAATGTTGCCAGAGCGCATATTTTATTCCTATTGAGGTTGCAAAATGAAAAGGAACCTTATTTACTGTCGTTTTTACTATCAATGAACGACATTGTTAACTCTCGGCCTCATAAAAGTGTCATATTCACCTGAGAGTTTTCACGCGTGATTCCAAAGATCTGTTTTTTCTCGTCATAAAATTATGCCTAGTATAGAGTGATTTTCTACATTTGATGTAGAGCGTTTCGGTTTTATTTATTTTAACGATTTTTAGCGTCACTCACGGTGAGTCCTTTTTGAATTATGTTTTATTGTGACTAGGGTGTATATTTTTAAATCGATTATCGGTAGTCTTCATTCCGCTAGTGAGCTAGTCACTAGGATGCTATAAGAGAATGTTAAGTAACTATATTTAGTGGAATTAAAGTGAAATATTATTTTAATGCGTAACTCGGATCTTTAAAAGATTTAAACCTAATTAGTCTCGAAGCTGTATCATAGAAGTGATAAAAAGCAATCAAAAAACCTAGCATATGTGTGTTTGTAGACTTATTTTTGGATATTTGGTTATATGTATATACTTGTATTGCTTAAATATCGTGTAATGTTAATTGATTTTAAATTCCAATAAGAACAAGCAAATTCCAGAAACATCATTATATGTATATTCTGAAAACTTTATACCGTCGCGTTATACATAAGTGTGTCTTGTAATAACAATTTTCTATGTCATCTCATATTGCCAGTAACCGTCTGTTTTTAACGGTCGGAAGAAAAATAATTTTGTTTTTATAGAAAAATATTAAAAATCGAAAAAAAAATTGTTAACAATTGTTTTACCAAATCCGGTCTAGTTCCTTATCGTCTTATGTCAGTTTTAGCTTTAGTTTAAAATTTGATTGTAAGTATCTCATTATAATGATAGATCCATTGATTGTACGATGTCAATGTTTTAATTTCATAAATTATATCGACGATATGAACAGTATTAATATCAGTTTAAAGCGAAATCATATCGAATTTTCTGCCACAGCGGTCAAAATTTGTAACATTACTTCTTGAAATATGTAGTGAAACTGCATCTTTAAGGAGACGTAGAGAGTTAATACATCAATGAATTAAAATTAAAAAAAAATGTTGTGTAGTTTGACGTGTACCTCGATTGTTGCCAACCATAACGTATTTAGGCCAAGTATATACCATTTTGCTTGATACATTATTTGTGCATTAATATAATATTGATATTATCGGCTTGTTTGATTTTATACAATTTTTCGTTGGTTTATATGTTGTAATCTCCTTTCAGTTTTTTTTTTTTACAAAAAATTTAACAATTATTTGTATGTCATTTATATCGGATAATTGAGTTTTCAAATTCCCACAAAGAAAATATTTACACTGTAATATTTATAACAAACATTAGGTTTGGGTTCAGCAATACTTATGATTAATTAAGATTATTTTTTACTGAATAAATAAACGGATTATTCTTCGAATCCCCAGAAGTTAAAACTGATTCAGACTGATTCTCTCATTTTTTATAGATGTATTCATAACATTTTTGAATCCTTTTTAAAGTTACTATTTAATGTATAGATCTGTACTGTAAATATTTCTTGTAATATTTCTTCAAATAGACAATTCTTACTACACGTATTTTAAAATTAACTACAATATTTCGGTCTTCGTATCAAATTCTTGTTATGGTGAAATAAAATTGTTTCATTTCATCGTGTTTTGATCTTGATTTTAAATCCCCAGAATTTTCGTTCACTTTACATCGTTTATGGCCACGAGTTAAAAGCGATAAAATCCATAAAATATTTATATTCCCGTTAAATACAAAAAATCATTAATTTTTATATCCGTCATAATTGTAAAAAAGTAAAGTAAAGTAACAGCCTATACATGTCCCACTGCTGGGCAAAGGCCTCCTCTATACAGAGGGTATCAGGGCATAGTCCACCACGCGGCCCCACTGCGGATTGGCGGACTTCACATATCTTCGAAATATATATTTTTTTGTTATTACTTCGAAAATATGCAGGTTTCCTCACGATGTTTTCCTTCACCGCGGAGCACGTGATAAGTCAGCACTTAAAGTTAAAAACTTCATTGGTGCCGGCACCGGGGATCGAACTCAGGTTGCTCGAGTATATTGAATTAAAGGCGAGCGCCCGGACACTGAGCTATCACGGCATAATTGTAAAGCTACAAAGAAATAAGTGTTGCCAGTATGGAATAAACCTAAATATTTCAATTTGATATAATTATCTTTATCCTGCATACAACAATAATATATCAAAAGACCTTTATAAAATTGACCTTCATAAAAGTTATGTAATGATACCTTAATGCTGCAGTTTTTGCCTCAATACAGTTTTTAATATGGTGGAAAAGATTTTCACCAAATTTTACAAAGAACGTTTTATTACCATCCTAAATAAGTGTCAGATATAGCCCGTATTTACTTACCGAGAAAAAAGAGTGGTGTGGCAACGTCAGTTTTACCGTCCGTTTAAAGTTAGCAAACGAGCAACCGCCTGCTCACCTTCATTTTATGTGATTTCCGCCGCCCTTGAAAATTTTCAACACCTGACGGGTAGTAAATACTTTGCAAACATTAAAAATTGAGCCACGGTACCAGAACAAGCTTTTACTGGATGTGTGAGATTTTAACACAGGTGAATCGATGTCTAGGAACAGGCGGCGATGCAGATAGCAATCGAGTATTGGCCACGTTTTTATAAAAAAAAAGATTTTAAGTCCCGCGTTTATCAAATTTCCAATACCCACAAATTCTTTTGTGCATTTCTAATGCCCACTTCCACTTTAGTATCCGCTTACATCCTTACTGATGTAGGCTTACGGCACGACCTGACTTCAATAGACAACCAACTTTTTCCAAAAAAGCGCAATAGTGCGAAAAGTGGCATCTGAAGTTGTACAAACGCGATTTGTACAAAGAAAGGTTTACGCTATGACACAGGAAAAATATCTCAAAAACAATTTGGTAATGCCTAAAATCAGCATCAGAATGTTTAAGAAAAAGGCGGATACTTTCTTGATAATGATGATAATTTTTTGCATGATTTCTTAAATGGAGTTTATATCGTCTACAACAGAGGTGAGTGAAGAATATACTCGCCAGTGATGCGGATACCATAACGAAGAGTTTAAAAACGTTCTTCGACGCGGTAACTGAAAAGTTTCGGAGACATAACGTCTGCCAAGTCACACATCTTTGCAATTGGGTTGGTTTCACACCACGTCATCCGACGTCCGTCAGTCGATCCGACTAAATGATGACGTGGTGATTTTATACAAACAATTCAACATTTCGATACACCTGTACCGTAGTTGATACCACCGTTGATACAACCGCACAGGTATCGATGTGAGAAGGGCTGGCAGTTCACCTGATGTTAAGTGACTATCGCTGCACACCGACATCTGCGACACCCGAACGGTTGCAGAAGCGTTGCCACCTTCTAAAGAATTGGTTTACCTTACTTACCAGACGAAACAGTAGTATAATGGCGCCACTACAAGTCGGTCTTCTCGGACGAGCCTGCACATTCGTACAACTGGAAAAACTACGACGCGGTCCTCATGATTAAATCGTAGACTTTTTTTATGTGAGAAGGTGGCAAGCGAGCTGGAGACACCTGATGTTTATCGCCCATGAGCATTTGCAACACCCGAAGGATATACATATGTTGCCATCTCTTTATCAAATGGCGCACTGGTTACCTCACTCACCAGACGAAACGCAGATGTATTTTACACTTCGCGCCGGTCTTCTGTGAGATCGTGGTACTTCCCCAGACAGACCTGCCCATTTGTGCAACAGCGAAGACTGTTGCGTGGCCCTACCAATGTGTGTTATGGTTCACAAACTCTAGACGTAATAGCCAATTACTCCTCGGTCTTTTGTGTAATCTGACAAAACTTGTGAAAGTAGTATTATCGTACTTAGTATACAGCGTGTCGTTACGACAATAAATGAAGACACGTCTAACGCTACGAGCCAATAATCATAAAAAATATTAACGTAAAACAAAATCCATAATTAAAAAAAAATTTTCTAACAAATTAATAAAATAAAAAAGAAAGAAAATTTCTAACACCTATACAACTCGCGCCACAGCGTCGTATTACAAGCCTCTCCTTCTAACAGTATGTTTTGTCTCTTTTAAATTCATTCAACCCATTCATATACTTTGTGACCTTTACAAATGAACTTTACGTTACGCTTTTATAGGTAAGGGTGTTCTAAAATTCTTTGTTTTGGAAAATTTAATAACTCTATAAACTTTGATGTTTAAAGAATTTAAACGTTTAATACAACTTAAAAAACTTATCTCCTATATGTGTGTTAATTTATTGTCACAATGGTAAGTAACGACACGCTGTATAGTACTTATGTATGCATGTAAGAAGTAATACTTCTTTAGGATAACAAAAGAAAAATTACTAAAAATTTTGTCACCAGTACACTTTGTTTGTGAAAAAGACATTAATAACAGTTTAATTAAATAACTTGGGATGGGTAAATGTCAAAATTTTTTAATGAAAAGACCATGTACTATATAAATATGCAATGTTTTTTGGTTGTTGGTGTGCACACTGTTGAAAAATTTTGCTGTCTTAATTATTTCCAAATGAGCCAAAAAAAGTATAAAACAAAACTTTTTTCTTCAACTGTTTCACATTATCGGAAATCAGTATAAAAAAAAACTACAATTGAAGGTGATTATGACACAAAACTAATCACATTTATGCAATATATCTTTATTAACAAACATTATGTATGCAATAATCAACAAGAAGAACTAATAGCTTCATTTATTTCATCTCCTAATGACAAGAGCTTTCTCCACTGTTCTGGGGTTAAACTGATACCTTTCTTACCAGGTAACATTTCTCCATTTTTTTCATAGAATTCCCTTACATCTACATATACTTTTCCCTTAAATTCTCTGACTTTTACTAGCTTTTTGCCTTGCAGGACCCAAGTCGGTTCTTTGTCCTCAGTTCTGGAACCCATTTTAGCTTTTTTTTCTGCTGGTGGATTCCTCTAAAATAAAATATTTGGTATGATTATATAACAAAAATAAAGAATGTTAATTTATAGTTATTTACCAATCTATAAGGTGCCACTTAATATATTATGAAAAAATACGATTAATCTGAATTCTGATAATCCACTTTTTTCAGGCAATTCATTTAATACTTATATTTGTACATTTGTTGTAACACTAACATCGTACCGGTAAATAAGCAGTACAGACGGGCAAAAAACATATATCACATAGGTTACCGGTATTTTAATATGAACATATTGCTTTATATACAATATTTATTGATGATTGTGTGAAACTATGTGGTTGCCCATTGATATATTAGTAACAAAAGCATTGACTATGTCCCAAAAAAAACTTTTAAACGTTGATTATAAATCGGACACGTTTTTATAAAATAGATTTTCTTAAACGCACATCAACTGGACCATCATCACTGTCACTGCTGGAACTTTCTGGTTTCTTCTTATTCTTGGGCATTTTATGTTAATGTAACCTACGTTCTGTTAAGGTTAAAATATGATTAAAAAATCAATATGCCAAGTAAACACGATACAAACTTTTAAAACTAAAACAAGTAGGTACGAAAAAAACTTTATAGTAAAGTGTAGTGTGGGGATAGGAAGGATGCCAAAAATGTATCGATAAATCGATATTTTTGATTCTATGTATCGACATTTTCAGCCGATATATTAGGATCCAATATGTCAATAAAATCGGTATAAAATATTCAATATCGAAAATCGGCTTCTAAAAAGACAGTTCGTTTCGAGGACTTTATTCAAACTTCAAAAGTCTAATTGAGCTGAAGATTCAAAAAAGTGGCAGATTTTGGTAGATTTCAAGGAAGTCATTATTATTTTTGAAATACATTTATACATTTAAATTAATATTTGTATTTAGAATCCTAATAATATTCGATGTCTTTTATTTACTTTTATTATTGCTTGCAAATTATTTTCTGATGGAAACTTTCGTCCCATACTACATAGTATGGGGATTTCCTGATTATTGTAGGCTCATATATATATATATAGATTTTTACATAAAATAAAAAACGCGATATCAAGTAATTGGTCTTGGAGGCAAGCGAGCAGTGAGGTTCACTTTTTCTTCCTTGGGCGATTACAACGGTTTACTGTGAGAAACGAAATGACCGAGTCCGAGTCCACCGGTGGACCGGACACGTTCCTTCTTTTATACCGTCTTGCTCCACCATTCAATACCCCATTTACCTCACCCCCGCTCGCCGTTCACGACACATCATCTTTATTTAATCGCAGAATTAACTCACATATATAAATGCGCTTACGTTCTATAAACAATTTTACATTATAAAAAGAAAAAAACATAACTTATTTACTAGTAAAATTTACAAGAAATATAAAATAAATATATAAGTTACCTCGCCCCCCGCCTCAGCAAACATAATATATCCCCTCTCCAATCGTTAACTATCGTGAGTCGGAGGCGGGCAATGTAAACAAACATTCATTTTCTAAAAACATTGCATTAAATCGTTCCTTATTGGCTAACTTAAATACTCTTAAATAAAGCAATAAAATAATCTATTTCCTATTAACAATATAACAGAATAATTAAGTTCTATGTTTTACTACAATATTAATCTATAAAAACATAAAATTTTGCATATCTTTAAGAATTAAAACGTTAGTCGGCCGCCTCGCGGCTTGCGTTAAACTTGCAACGCAAAGTATGGGGAAACGACGCGTCCTACCGTTCTTTTTGGAGTGTTTAAGTGAGGTATCCGCCTTTCGGAGCTGGTCACCTGTCACACCATTCCGTACACTACGTTTAGAGAACACCGTATACGTCTGGTGCCACAAGTCACCAATCTAAACAGACATTACCAGTGTCGTTACCATAGCGACAATAAATGAACACACGTCTAACGCTACTTGCCAATAGTCATAAAAATATTAACGTTAAACAAAATCCATAATTTAAAAAAAATATTTTTCAAACAAACTAATTAAGTAAAAAAGAAACAAAATGTGTAACATCCTATACAACTCGCGCCACAGCGTCGCATTACAAGCCTCTCCTTCTAACAGTATGTTTTGTCTCTTTTAAATTCATTCAACCCATTCATATGCTTTGTGAGCTTTACAAATGAACTTTACGTTACAGTTTTATACGTAAGGTGGTACAGTGTTCTAAAAATGTTTGTTTTGGAAAATTTAATAACTCAGTAAACATTGTGAAACATGTTTAAAGAATGTAAATGCTTAATACAATTTTAAAAAGTTATCCTCTATATGTGTGTTCATTTATTGTCGCGGTTGTAATGACACGCTGTATACATATACAATAATATTATGGCATTTTTTGGGTTGAGTTTGGCAGATTTCACCACATGTTTGGGTAGTGTCGGGCAAATTCACCATTTTTGAGTTGGTCACCCTGCTCAGTAGGAAGGAGCAAGTTAAAAACAATATCGATATTTATTTATTTATTTATTTAATCAAAACAAAATGGAGGTGCCATTTTGAATTCCATTCAAATAAGTTCGTTTTGCGGTACAGCGCGCACGAACACGTAAACTAACTCGCATTATATTGTGTAATTGGTGCAATTTTAAGTTTCCTTTTAGCTTCGTCAAATAGCTTGGTCACTGGTACTACCAGCGTGAGCTGCGTCAATGTACGTTTATTTTACCTTATCGTATTTATGGTTATTAACAAAATAAACTTTCACGAATGACTCATGGCTGATACCCTCTATATAGAGGAGGCCTTTGCCCAGCAGTGGGACATGTAGAGGCTGTTACTTTACTCTTTTTTACTTTTAATTAATTAAATACACTTTAATTAGTTTTATTTTTGTGTGTACTATTACCGAAGTCACTGATTAAACGAATTAAGTAGTCACGATTTGAAATAAATTCGTAATTTTTTGTATTTAATGAAAATAAATGTTTATTCAATAAATAGTCATCGTTATCTGGAAAAAAAATCGTAATATTTTATTTTATCATTATGGCATATTTAGTTCCTGTCACAATCTGTTCTTTTCTACATATTACTTTTACAAAATAATGTCGATGTTTCATATCTGCGGCTCACATTTTTTAACATGTTTTTTTTGGAAATTTATTAATTTGTAATTGCATAAAATTGTAAAATATTAATCAGTCAAACGATTCGGCCTCATTGAACGTCGCAGCGTTAAATAAAATCATGCAAACTGACATAATAAGTATTGACTTAAAGGTCTTGTTAGCCAGGTCATATATAACATTTATTAAAAAAAAGTATCATCGTGCACGCACGGAATATTTTTTACGAAAGCAGAGTTGCGTTAAAAAATATACCTATCGAAATTGACACGAATTCGAAAATTGAAAATAAATATTGAATATAGATGTATCGGAAAAAAAATATCGACGATGTATATCGATATTTATTTGGAAAAATATCCATATCCAGTTTTAATATATCGATATTTTTCCCCATGCCTACCCTACTGCTCGGGAAATTGCATTTTGCAACTTTGCAGCATAATTAACCTAAAATAAATTACCTAAATGATTAAAACATTTTAAAAGTTAAATTAAAAAATGATAGAACCATGGAATGATCGTAATCTGTTGCCGCCCCCCGTTCATACTTATCACTGTTTAGAAAGTATTGGTATGTATGATAAAATTATGTTCGCCGTTTTTTCTCCCAATGTTTACTAACACATTTATTTTCCAGATACGAGAAATTTACAACGCACTTGTCGAAACGCTATAAATGTTTTGTCAAAACAATCCCCATTACACAAAGAAGGTGCAATATTGTCAAGATTTTTGTACAAATACGACAAAAAATTTCGTAACGATATTGGTTACAGAATTTTCAAAAAAGTCAATACGGCTCTACGACGATATTTAACGGTAAATTTCATGAAAGATATTGAAAATTTCTCAATTGTCTTGCCTAATGATCCAGAAAATAAATACTTGCCGACTAGACAAATGCTAGAGTATGTGTTAGTGAGATTAATTTCCCTATCAAAAATTATGGTCAGGATATCAACGTGTTGTAAGCAAGCAGCAGTTTTTTATTTGGATAGGTTGAAAAGAGGGGAAAGCCATTGGATGTCATTCATGCCATATGCTTTATTAAGTAGATTGTGGTCTTTAAGTAATGTTTTACTTCAACATTGCTGTAGTTGGTACTTTCAGATGCAACCTTTTCGAGAAAAATTAAAAACAAAGGGCTTACCTTTTTTGCCAAATGGCTATGATATACCCAGCAATCTAGAAGAATGGCTAGATTTAAAAAATCAGGAGAATTTTGGTCGTTTCCAATGGTCTCGCAAAAATGTTGTCAAAGTTGACCCAAATTTAATAGAACAAACAGATGGTGATACAGTTGACAGTTTGATAATGTATATAAATGAAGTTAATGCAGAGGATGATCAACTAGACATAAAACCACAACCTAATTTAGAGATAATAGAAATAGAACCTGAAATAAACTTAGCTCAGAAACATGTTGATAAAGGTGAAGTAATATCTAGAGAAAGTTTCAATAAATTCTTTGCACAACTTGAGAGTGTAGTAAAGGTAAAGAAGGACAATTACTACCACTCAATAGACAGAGTAACAAACAAGCGAACCTTAATAGAATTTATAAACAGGGAAGAAAACTTTAGATATGAACAGAGTGCAAATTCTTTAACAAATGAATTGAGTTTCATGCAATGGCAAGCATTTAAAACAACAGCCTTGAAACTTTGTGACTCTCTTTGTGATAATAGAAAAATTCAAAGAAAATTTATGAAAATATGGCAGGACAAATGTATGAACTGTTAACACAATATTATTGGATTAATAAAACTATATTGATGATTAAATCATTTTTGATTATAGTGACATTTTCTTGAGCTTTATGTTAATACAAACATCTCTCTTTGTGTGCTGTGTACTCATGGAATACTGTTCTCATTTCTGGGTTGGGGAATTTCCTCTTCCATTTCACCACATCCAACATATCTGCTTGAATTGTCAACCACATCTTCATCGCCTCAATCTTCTGGATTAGCTAATAGATGTCTTGTCACACTTTTGTTTCGGGAAATTTTACATCATTGTGTTATTGTTAAAATATTTTGTTGATTAAGAATGATCATCCCTCACTTGAAGTTGATTGATAACAACGGTTAGTTGGGTTTAGTGGAATCAAAATCAATCAATGATGGTTTCAATGCAGATTTGTTTATAAAAACCTACAGACTTCTTAAATTATGTCATCTTAAATTATGTCTGTTTTAAATCTAACAATTACATCTTAGAAAACGATAAAAAGCAGTATTTTTCAATTTTTGACATGGACAAATTAAAATTTCCGATTTTAATAAAATTAGTAGTAATAGAAAGTTGCCTATAAACATCAAGGTTTTTCCAAAATCTTAATTAACACAGTTTTAATTACATTTCCATGATAAAAAAAAAACTACTAATTATGATCAAAACATGTTTATTTTTGTCTTGTGTTTATTTTCATACTGACCAAATATAAAATACAGCAAATGAGATGTTTATAAATAAATACCTACAAAATTCGTACATTTCTTCATAATTTTATTTGAAACTTTTCTTTTTATATATTATTTAACAAGTATAATAAAGATTTTTTTGCACACATTTTTGAGTTTTTATATTGATGGAATGCACCTAAGTCAATAATTATTTCTTATGGCAAGCTAACAAGATATGATCTTGGGACTATTACTCCTCATTACTATCAAAGTAATTCTAATATATAATAAATGCACAAAGAGGGTTACATAGGACAGTCTCAAAATTCCAATGGATCAGTGGTGTAATTTTAATAAGAGAATAATAACACATGATAAAATATATAAAACACTCATAAAATTGTTGTTATACAATAAGCTAATCCTTATTTATTTCCTTGCTGATTTGAAAGAACACTCATTCCAAAATTTGTAGAATTTTATTATCAATATATACAAAGATATCTCTAGATGCACATCAGAAATACTTCCATTTTATATTAAGAGATTACTTCATTATTGTACTTGTATAGTACCATATAATGTTATGTACAATTTTTACCAATTAAAGCACTATAGACATCGCTGTTATAACTTGTAAAGCAAAATCAATCAAAAGGAACTTAATATTTTTAATTACGCAAGCAATATTAAACTCAATTGTAAGTAGTATTACAATTTTAATTAAAACTTATGACCCCACTTTCACAAAATCTATACTTTTGATCACAAGTATAACTCTAAACCCTGGCTAGTAGCACCGATTCGTCAGGTAGCATGGTAAGTTATAAATAAAATTCATATGATGCCCATGTATGACTCGCAAGGTTGTGAGCAAATTCCCATTACATTAGAAATATAACCACTAAGAAAATTGTGCTAACACTTTTTTACGTAATGGCTCCCAGTTTCCGTTTTCGGGGAAATTACGGTGATATTTCACCCACGCATTCATTTCCTACTAGATATCTTTTGTAGTCGAGCTTTTAAACCACCTTCCTTTTTGGGCTGAGTCAGGGATTTTCTCTCCTCCTGAAGTTTTTTGGTTTCTTTTAATCTGAAATAGTAAAAATGTAAGTTATAGACTTCTTTTCAAACAATCAAGTCTTTATTCAAGCAGTGTAGGAAGAAGTTGTCTCCAAGTTTCTTCGTGCTTAATGAGTACCAAGAATGGTTTTGTAAGCATTGATTGTAAGACGGTTATTTTTGTGCATAAATTAGTTTTCATCGGTAAGCGCCACTATAATTTGAACCCAAACCCAAGACCGAAAGTCCCAGAGAGAGTTATGTATTGCATTTTATAATAAAATCTTAGAAACTTCCATTTGGGTAAGCCGCAAATCAGGTGGCGTCTTTATAAGTAAGCGTTACTTACTTCTCTTTGATGGCGATTTGTTCCTCCTTTTTGAAAATGTCCTTAAAATCACTACAGAACGACGTCCAGAGCGAGAAGAACTCTTTGGGCTCGCAGTCTTCCATCTTGCCGCACTTCGGCGTGTACTGGTAGAACTTCATCGTCGCGATAAACCTGGCTCTGCACTCCTCCAGGTTGTCGCTCTCACTCTTCAGTTTCTCTTCTGCGGCGTCGAGGAAAGTGTTCATCTTCTCGCTGAACACCTCCAGCCTTTTAGCGTTGTCCCCGGACGGCGAGTCGCAGCCCTGCTCGTTCCTCCGGGCATCGCATTCTATCACTTTCTTAGTCTGCTCTCTGCAAGCTGCGAAACGAACGCATAAAGACGATAACCTCAAGTTTTAACGCTACCAAGATTGTGATAGACTAGAAGAGACATTAATTTACCACTTATGGGTTCTATGGTTCTTATGACTTCACATAGGCGTTTTAGGGCTATTTGTGGGTATTTTAGGTTATCTTGACTTTAGGGATTTTTTTTTTAATTAGTTGGTATGTTGGTAACGCTAAAACGCCGGCAACGAATCCGCAAGCCCCCTGGTGCGGCTTACCACCAGGCGAGCCCCTACTTTGCCCCCCGTGTCCATTGGAAAGAGGCGCACCTTGCAGCCGGTCGCGCAGCGCGCCCAGGCCGTCCGCCACGTCGGCGAAGTCGACGGCGGCCGCGCGCGCCACGTCCCCCGGCTCGGGCACGGGCAGCGCGCACGCGGCCGCCAGCGCGCCCCCGCGCGACCGCATGTACGTGCGCACGATGAAGTGCAGCAGCGTCACCTGCGAGTGCTTCGACTGCGCACAGAGAGTGGGAAAATATACCGACATATATAAAAATGTCAATATCGGATCTAGAAACCCTGATGTTCAAAAAAAAGGTATTACAAGCAGGGTCGGATTTAGGGGAGGGCGACTTAAAATTCAGACTAATAAACAATAGTAAACAATTACTATTCCTTTCATATTTTTTTCGCATTTTACTTTTACTTATAGTACTTTGTACAAACATGATTACATTAAATATTAACAGAAATCAATAGAAAATAATTTGGGGCCAAGGGGCCTCCACTCCTTTGTTGCCCCGAGGCCTCCAAACCTCTAAATCTGGTCCTGATTATAAGTATTAAATATTTGAGAAATATTTGAGACGTACGGACTCTGTGCCGGATTCAAATTTGAAACAATATAGTTTTAGTTACGATTTTCGATATTGAACATTTTGGATCGATATGTCTGATCGATATGTCAAATATATCGGCTGAAAATATCAATATATAAAATGAAAAATATCGATATATCGATCGTAATAATATCGAGGGATGTCGCAACCCTAGCAGAGAGAAAACATGTTCTACTCCCTCGCTTTCCCAGATTGTGACTGACGCTGCGGCGGTGAAGCGTTAACAATGTTAGGGTTACATCAAGGGGACGTAAGACGGGTACGTAAATAATAAGGGTTACATCAAGGGACAGCACGACCACACGTACGACGTGTACCTCCTCGCAATGGTCATTATGTATGCACTGCATTGTTTTATCAAGACTATCCATGTTGTTCGAAGGCGGCGGCAATCATTCAAAATGAATCCATACATGAACGAGAAATTACTTAAATAATAATAATCCTTACTAATATTATAAACGCGGAAGTTTATATGTATGGATGGATGTTTGTTATTCTTTCACTCAAATACTACTGAATGTATTTTAACGAAACTTTACAACAATCTCTGCACTTAAGATTGAACATTAAAACATGTAGAAAAAGTACGAAAAGATTGTCGCTGCTTGGGAATCGAACCCACGTCTTCGGCATTCGCGGCCTGACGCTCTAGCCACTGAGCTAAACGGCTGGTAACCACGGCGACGAAAATCTTAACGCCTTCTTTCTACATTGTTATTTAGCATTTGAAGCAATAGCTTATACATCAGAATAACACATATGCTATAATTTATATACATATTTTATGTATATCTGTCTGAATGTTACGCCTTCATTCTACGTAGACATAGTCGCGGGCAGCAGCTAGTAAATATATATTTAAGGACACATTTTTACAGAACGTTCTCTAGTTCCAAACTAAGCAACGCTTGTTCTATGGGTACTAGATAAACTGTAGTACTGATAAACATACTTAAACGTACTTTCCTTTTCAAATAAATATATAAACACCTAGACACTGGAAAGACACTATGTTCATCACACAATATTGCAGCAGTAGGGGATCGAACCCACGCCCTCCGGCGCAAGAGGTAGGGTCAAAAAATTAACAGTGACACGTACCTTCACGTCCCTGAGTTTCGCAAGAATTTCCAGACCGAAGCCGTCGGCCTGGCCCCTCTGGCAGTTGCCGCCATTCATGTAGTTGCCAAGGGTCAAGATTATGGCGAACAGCTGCTTCAGAGGTTCGCTCGTGATGAGGAACTGTGAAAAAAGAACATTACGAACTTTAAATAATTGACGACGCCCGCGGACGATGTTTCTCGAGGAGTAAAGTGGGACACAAGCAAATGATTACGTCGACCGAGAAAACTAAAGAATAGAATAACCCTTCCAAAAGAATAGATATAACACCTGAGGCATTGCAGTATTGTACATGACGCTTAATATTTGGCGAACCACCAGCTCACTTGCTAATTTGATTAAAAATATATTAATATATAGATTTCTTAGCTTAAATATATGTAGAGAATTTAGTCTATCTAAATAATTATGTCTCGGTTTAATCTATTTCTAAAATATATTTAAGTCCCAGACTCAGTAGACGGTGGGTGTACTCAAACAAAAAGCAGGGAATATTTTGCCTTCTTTTTATGGAGGGTAGAATAAAGGAGGACCATCTCAGTGTATTAAAAAGTGTCCGTTGAAAGGGAGCAAATTAAGGTGGCGCTATAGTAGCAAGTGGAAGAATTTTAAATAGAGCGCCACAAATTATTAGAGTAGGATACTAAATTAAAAAAGGAAAGAAACATTTCCGCTTTGTTACAGCGCAATTTTTTTAATATATAGACAAAAATGAGTATGGAATAAAATTAAAGAAACAAAAATTAAATTAAATATTAAAAGAAGTCAAGAGAAATTTTAAATTTTTCATCCCAGCACACTTCACTCTGCTTATAACTGCCAAGTTCATATCATTTCCACTTGCTACACTAGCGCTATTACGGTGAGTTCGAACAATAATTTGCTGTTTACAAGTGGACACTTTTTCGACTAATCCCCCATACGAGACGGTCCTCCTTTATTCTACCCTCCATACTTCTTTTGCTAATGCCACAGACAACAAATTACTGTAAAACAGTAGGATTGGCAACACTTTATTAAGGCTCCTACAGTCAAATTTGGGTCAAATTCGATTGGAATATAATTAGACATTTGCAATCGACGCAAACCATAAAATACATCATTTTTGTGTGAAACACTATAATTTTAATTTGACCATATAGTTAATGTAGCTTTTTTATTAACTGTAAACACTTAACAATTACCTCGCAGGTGTTCTTCAGATTGTCCAATTTGTGCATAGTTGTATTGACCGCATCTTCGAACTCTGCTTGAAACATGAAACACGATATGCGTTCCGCGAAATTCGGTATACCGGATAAATCGTGTAAGAAAGCTTCGGGTTTATCCAAGGGAATTTCCGGCTTGGCTTTCAAATGGTCCCGGATTAGCATCAGTTCTTCATCACTTGCCCGCTAAAATATCAATAGAGCATGATTAGATATATAAATTTTTCTTCTTTTTCCAATAGCCTTTATTAAAATGATATTTTATGATTCAGGAATACTAGGTAAAAACGAATTTGTAATTATGTTTTAAACAAACTTATTGAGGAAACCGCTTTAAAAATATTTTGTATATATCTGTCATAATAACAGTACTTTCTGTGAATCAGACGATACATAAACTACAGATAAATAATCTTTGCTGATGTTATAGGTATGATGGTATCCCATGACAGTGGTAACGTTCGAAATAATTTCCAGATTCAACTTGGGCTGCCCGAATTCAATCGAACGACTAACAGAAGCGCTTCCAGACAAAGGACGTCTCCTTCAGGATTGCATGTACGTGTGAACGAGTGCTGTACTTGCCAAGTCGTAGATCTGCTGTAGCGCCTCCATGCTCACGACGGACGTGTCGAAGTTGTATATCGCGTTCTCGATCTCCGCGAACTCGACGTGCAGGCTCTGCGCCAGTATGCCGACGTTCTGCGACCGCTTGCTGTCGAGCAGCTTCGCCGGCTGTATCTTCGCCTTCACCTCGACCTTCTTCTTGGCTGGCGCCTTGACCACCTGCCGCGAGAACAGGTCCGTGAACTCGTCGATGTTGTCCAGGCGCGCCTCCTCGATCTCCAGCCACAGCGGCTTCGGCCCGGCGCGCTCCTCGCTCTGGCTGACAGGCGGCGCCGGCGCGGCCAGTATCCGAGTCCAGTACAGCGGCTTCATAGGCGCCGCGGGCTTGACGGGCGTCTTCCTCAACGCTGCAAACCGTTCCGTGCTCACAACGATCACACGTCCGATTGATGGCGGATACGGGATCGTCGGACACGTTTGGTGTTGTCGCATCGTTCGCGCCTGGTTATTAGGGTGGGAGGTGCACAGGCTGAATGACATCAACTATCCTGTGACGCGGTTGAATCGTCATGAAATTATGAGATGTTTAGCAATCAAATTTAATCTATGAGCAGAATTGTTATAGGATAATATTAATCGTGAAAATTAAATTTTACCCGTACTTACTCGATCGCTGCATGTTCCATCCACCCGCAGGTGGTGCGGGGAATGGCAGAGGCCCTTGTTGAGACGCGGCGCCAGCAGGGGTAGTTGAACCAGGAACATTAAGAGGTGGCGGAGGTGGGGGAGGGAGATTCGGACCCAATGACCCCATGCCTCCGGGCATAGGGGGAGGTGGTGGACCCATTCCTGGCATAGGGGGAGGAGGTGGACCCATTCCTGGCATTGGGGGAGGAGGTGGGCCCATACCTGGCATTGGGGGAGGAGGTGGAGCAAACCCTGGCATTGGGGGAGGAGGTGGGCCCATACCTGACATTGTGGGAGGAGGTGGGCCCATACCTGGCATTGGGGGAAGAGGTGGGCCCATACCTGGCATTGGGGGAGGAGGTGGGCCCATTCCTGGCATTGGGGGAGGAGGTGGGCCCATACCTGGCATTGGGGGAGGAGGTGGGCCCATACCTGGCATTGGGGGAGGAGGTGGGCCCATACCTGGCATTGGAAGGGAAGGTGGGCCCATACCTGGCATTGGGGGTGGAGGTGGGTCCATACCTGGCATTGGAGGAGGAGGTGGAGCAAACCCTGGCATAGGGGGTAGAGGTGGGGCCGATTCTGTCTCAAGGGGTGGAGGTGGACCCATTTCTGGCATTGGCGCAGGAGGTGGGCCCATCACTGGAGTTGCGGCTGGAGGCGAGCTCAACTCTGTCGTCGGCGTAAGTGGTGGACTCAATTCTTGGTGCGGTGGGAGTGGAGATGGAACTATTTCTGGCTTTAGAGAAGGAGGTGATTGATCTAAGTCCTCAGACTCTGGTGTTTGTGATCCAAAAATGCTATCAGCGGCAGGTGATACAGATTTTGTACAACTTTTATTATCAGTAGTCGATATTCTTAGAACATTATCAACATGAGCAGTCTTTGATGAAACTGATTCTTGCTCTTCCGGTATAACAGGATACGGAGGACTTTTTTCTGTATTGTAACTATGTGATACTTCTTTCTGAGAAAGAGATGACGCTTCGGATGAGGGTAATAGATTTTCATGGGGCATAGATGTCGAAACTTGGCTGGTTACAGTTAAGGTGCGAGAATTTAATAATGGCTTTGTGTGTGAGGGCGCAATATACGGTGATGGAGTCATTAACTCTGGTGTTATTGAATACGTTCCTGGTACCGGCGGTGGGGATGGAGTCTTCCCTGGCAGAGGAGGTGGGAGGGATGATACTGCCTGGTTTGATTCATTAATTGATGTCTTTAAGTCCATTGTAACACATGTTATTTGGGTCCCATCAGTTGACTCAATTGGTGCTGTTAAAGAATTAAGATTTGAACCTAAATTATTCTCATCAACAGCTAAACTTTCAGCATTTTCTATTAATTCTGCTTCCTGCTGCAATGAAGATTGACTAACATCTACCATCAGAGATTGATCTGCTTTTGAGAACAAAATATTTGTACTTGTCATATCATTTGAACACTTCACATTTTCAACTAGAACTTCATTTTCCTTTAACATATTTTCTTCATTACATTTATTATCTATCAACAAATCATTACAAGTGTAGGTACTTGCAAAAGATGTATCAGAGGAACTTTCACATGTAGTTAAATGGCTTATATCTCGATGATGTTCATAATTATTATTTGGAAGACTTGTAGTTTCTCTCTCTTTTTGTAAATTAGTGTTATTGACTTGCTCATAAAGATCATCTTTACGAATTGGTTTATTATATTCCCTACTTTTATTTAATTTACAATAATTTTCTATTCTCTCAGATCTTTTTTCATCTTTACACTCAGAGTTGACTATTTCATTTTTACATGCTAACCTACTTATTCCTAATGTATTATCATCACTGGCATCACTGGCATCACTGGCATTTGTTCTTACTGGGGTATCATATTTAGCTGTATTTATCATATGCCAGTTGTTAAGTTTATTAATGTCATTTGTCTTCGAAGTTTGAACTTCCTTGTTTACTGTCTCTACAAGTAGCTCAACTTTATCCTTCATAAAATTATTTTCTGGCATAGAAATAAAAGTATTTTGCAAATTTTTATTTAAAATTTCAATTTGATTATTAATTTTAACTTTTTGTAACTGATATTCTAGCTCTTGTAATTTCTTTTTTAATTGGTGAATGACAACTTTTGCCTCTTGTATGTCATGTATTTCATCATTATTGTTTTGGCTATAGTATTGATTGTCATCCATAGTGCTGCTATATAATGTTGAATTGTCTCTTGTTACGGGGTTTATTTCTTTTTCTGGTGGCCATGTACACATTTGTAATCTTCCTGGTGTAATTGGCTGTGAAGCTGGAGCCTCCATATGCGCCCAATAATACATCAGATTAGGCTGAAGTCAGAACAAACATTTAAAAAAATTAAAACCTACTACAGATTATCATATAATAAGCTGGAATTCTAAGAAAATAAAGTAAAATTTGAGAGCCGAAAAATTTGAGAGCCGTGATAGCTTAGTGTCCGGGCGCTCGCCTTTAATTCAATATACTCGAGCAACCTGAGTTCGATCCCCGGTGCCGGCACCAATGAAGTTTTTAACTTTAAGTGCTGACTTATCACGTGCTCCGCAGTGAAGGAAAATATTGTGAGGAAACCTGCATATTTTCGATTTAATAACAAAAAAAAAAAAAATTTTTCGAAGATATGTGAAGTCCGCCAATCCGCAGTGGGGCCGCGTGGTGGACTATGCCCTGACACCCTCTGTATAGAGGAGGCCTTTGCCCAGCAGTGGGACATGTACAGGCTGTTACTTTACTTTACTTTAAATAATTTTTACTGTAAATAAATTCAATATGTTTTTGAATTTGACAACACTGAGCAAGATAACTTTCACTGTTTATTTTGAATTAATTAAAACTGAAAATAATAAAACTTATAACATGTCAGAAATAAGCATGTTATGCTGTACTACAATGCTTGTAATAATGTTACTTCATTATAAGAATGTATTGGATGTATAGTAAGAATAAAAAATATTTAATCGTGCAGTGTTTTTTCTTATAAGAGAAAAATGTAATACACAGATAGCAAGGAGCTTATACAAAATTATTTTTTTAAGTGTAGAGACTAATATGTGAAATGTTTGTGTAGTTTGTAGTTACCATAAATTCCAAATATGACATTAATTAAAGCAAAATTAATGTAAGAAAGTTTTTGTAATTAAATTATACCTATATAAAGATTTCTTAAGCTAGCTTAAGAATATTTTTATTAAAAATATAAAAATACCTTAAATACGTTTTCTCTTGGTGCATCTTTATCGGAAATCTGCCGTAAAACGCCTGCTGCTAAAAGGTGAGTGCAATATTGAATTCCAATATTTTTCAGATCTTGAGAACTTAAAAGATTTTTTAAGTGACTGTTGTCAGCAATCGACGAAACAAACCAATTGAGAAGCATCTGCCCTGAAATTGTAAATATAACTTCTAAAGTAAACTATGACAATAACAAACAATAGTAAAAAAAGTAAAAAGTTAAGGTGAAAACATTGAAACTTCATGACATTGACACTTAATATAACAATTAAATAATAAATAATGTTGCTAGAAGTTTGGTTTCTGGTGACAATTAATTAATTGTGTTTTTACACCTACAAATTGCTCGTTCTAGTTACTGTTTAATTTTTTGATTACAAATATTGACAGAGCGATTATACAATAGATTTTGATGTATAAATTACTGTATTTTTCATTGAAAAATACATGTTGTTAATAAATTAGATAAAACTAATAATCTACAAAATAATAACTGTATTAATACTTATTTTGTTTCACTTTCACCTTATTAAATAATGGGGAAAAGTTGAGTTCATAAATCCCTAAACATGTACAGCTTGACAGTTTCTTTAAAATAAGTACACGAGCGGCCCTCACACATATTACGCAATTGGAGACTGTTTTAGCGAGTGGTTTGTTAACATTGCCCCATCAAGAGGAATATATAATAAAAGGGTTGATTATTGCTACGTTGTGTTCGATTCTGCCATTTAGGAAAATCGGATTTTATCACAATATTTTAACTTAGACACAAAAACTTAACTAAATTTTGTACAATGGGATACGCTAGGTTGGTAAAAATATTAAATAAAAAAAGTGGAATTTTTGATTTTTTATCATAATGTTTTTGTTTTTGACTTATATTGTCTTTTCTAAGTAATTCCCGGCCCAACAAAATTGTGTTAAAATTAAATGTAATCGAAATAGGAACATAAAATGAATTCTACTATGTAGGTACCGGTATTGAATTCTATATCGATTAAATATCATCGAGTAATCTATGACACGTAGATAGAATCATCAGAGCTCATATTGTTTTTGAACTAGATTATAATCCAAGCATTAGTGTACCTACCCTTATTTCAAATATAATATTGGCATGGTGTACGAAATTTTGTTGTCACAAATGTTGTAAATTAAATTTATAACTGCTATCATATTATGACGTTCAATTATGTGAAGTTCAATTATGTGAACAGTCCATTTGTGATTTTGAAACATTTGAACTAAACCATGAGAAATATCAAATATGATCTATTAATTTAGGAGTAATGTTTATTTTTAGTGCTAGTCTTTGCCATAAAGATAACATTCAGAACACGCGCGTTTTTTTTTTTTTTTTCATTTATCTCCATAAAATAAAATTTTAAGATCTAATGGACACTTAAGCTAATTGAAGTTTCGGAGTACAGGCCAATGACTTGCAGTTATCTAATTTAACGAAGTTGTGTGATGTTTGCAAAAAGATGTTTGTTTGACTGATGTTGACAATTATACGTTCACCTTTTCCATTGTACAAACATATAAGAGCAATTAGACGTGATAATTCAGTGTTTGGGCGCCTAAAGGAATGTCCTTGCCTATACACCTATCAACCAAATTTATATCCATATTTAATATTATAAATGCAAAAGTAACTCTGTCTGTCTCGATTTCACGCCAAAAATATTGAACCGATTTAAATGAAATTTGGTACACAGATAGTCTAGAGACTGAGAAAGGAAATAGGCTATTTTTTTAATTAGAAAAAAGTTTTGTAAAGGATTGAAAATATCTTTCTTTAAAAAATACATATATTTTAAGAAAGATATTTATTTAAGCTGCAACGCGAGCGAAGCCGCGGGCGAAAATATATTTGCACGTTTCTGATAGTCGATAAAATAAAAAAAGAATATTAAGTATTAGGTACGGCAGGCGATAAGGTTTTCCTTTTCTCGATTTTTGTACCTTGCATCCATTTCTTGGAGGTCAATGTTTTAAAACAACTTTACCATAACGGAATACTTACTATACCATAATGAAATACATACGATGGAAAAATAATAAACTCACAGACATGAGCAAATACTAGAAAATTTATAAAAGAAAACTAAACAAATAAATTATTTATTTATGTAGAGCATGCTCACGTATCTTATAGACGCGCGGTATATGCAATATGATGAAGTGTTTCACAAAATTTTCATATTAATTGTATTATTGTTGTACAATGTTGTGTTGAATCAGTACATATAGAACATTTTGTAGTCTAAATGCTGCACTCGAGATGTTGGATCTCATGTTTTAAACGCCGAGCACGATATCTTAGCGACGATTCCGTTGCTAATAATGTAGCGTTGGGTTTACAATGCTCTTTATTGTTTTAGAACGAAAGGTATTTGATCCATACTTACTTTCAACAATTTCTTTTTGATTATCTACTTTGAAGAAACTGGATAACTGGAAATAATAAATTAAACTATCGCCATTATGCCGCTTCATTGTCGTTGTAATAACACCCAATTTCAAATCACACGCAACAATGGTCTCGCCAAACTTTCTATTCGTTGTGTTTATAACGATACGATACCACTGAACTGTTCGATCCACGCGAATAGACAATCTCTTAACAACGTATTGCACCAACTCCCAGTTGCCTCTTAACGGTGTAGATTTCCGGAAGAGCCTCCTACGAACGCGTCTCACTTTGGTGTCAAAGTCAAGGTAAGTTAAGTCTTCGGAGTGCAGACCCAGCAGAGTAACGATATTATGAATCCCTCTCTCCGCCGACTGATGTTTGTTCAACAGTCTCACGTAATTGCATTGCGCGATCGAGGAGCTGGTGAAATGGACGCGACTTGTTGCCAGTTGCATGGCGGTAGTTTTGCACTTGCGTTTGGCACCGGTAGAGTCACGTACACACTCCGTTTACTTTCGTATCGCTCGCAATAGACTAGAGTGATTATGGATAAGAATTAGCGGCACATCTACCTAGTTATCTAATTGTTGATAACACATAATTTTGCTTTATCGCGATGTTCATTCATCTATTTGTTTGGACGACGATAATGGCGGTCGGTGCGTCCTTCGAATTACTTTATTCAAAATACGTAGCTTATGTGTGAAAAAGATAAATTGTTGATAGCGTCACTGTGTATCTAAGTGGCGGTTGTATCGTGATTTTTGACGTTTTGATAGATTTATCTTTTGGATGTTTGTTAGTTAACAGACCGTTATTTTATAGATCGTCCGTTTACCTTTCTTGATAGAATTTAACATGGCACTCATTTTCGAAACAAGGGTTTTCAATAGCTACGATAACCGTTCGTCCCTATGGTACTTTTATCAAATCTTAATTTGATTTAAATGTAGCAGATTGTATTAGCGAGTCATATCGGGCGCTACCCTATTACATTTTGTTCGCTAATTTTAATATATTCCTAATAAGTATGATAAATAAAAGTAAAGCGGGCTAAGTAAATCAATTATTACAAACGATAAATTATAACGTACAGAGATATAATAAATTGGCTCTTCTACAGAAGCGCAGGATTTCGAAAAATGCTGTCAATTTTCAGTGCTTACTCTACCATATTTATCACTCACACACTCGCATGATTGGCGTTCACGCTAATAAGACGATTTAATTATTTCAACTTACCACCATGGAATTAAAAAAAACTACACTAACAACCATGAAAAATTTTTGAGGTGTCTTTTGTATATTGACCAATCGCTGGTGCTTTAGCGCAGCGTCTTGTCATTTTTAGATGATGGATATCGCTAATAACATAATCTTAGGTATTTTAAAGTATCTTCGAACGCAGGTCCGTCACTAGCTACTTTTTCTACGGGCGTGTTAATGCGTACACTAAATTTGACACGCGAGTGAAATTTATTGCAGTCTTAGTTCCAACGGCTACGTCTTCAATGTAAAGAACAAGTTAATTTAATTACCGGCATAGACAGAGTCATGTTAAACATAATTATGTTTTACATACATTTTTTTTATTTTTATCAGAGAAGGTAGCAAGCGAGCTGGCGGTTCACTTCATGTTAAGTGATAACCGCCGCCCATGGACATTTGCAACACCTGTAGATTTGCAGATGCGTTGCCAACTAGTAATAAAGTGGGCCCCGGCTACTTCACTCAGCAGACATAACGCAGAAATATAACACTTCGACTTCACGCCTCTTTGTAGTATTTGCCCGGACTATCCTGCCCATTCTTGCAACAGCGAACTGTTGCGTGGCCCTAGAGTAGTCATAATAATAGAATAAACCACTAGGTTGAAATTCGGCATATAATATTATATTTTAATAAAATTAATATTATATAAAATGAGTTTGTAATATTGTTTTTACGTTATAAACTCATTTTATATAATATTAATGGCAATCGAACTATCGAAACGATGACAAAGATTTTTATTACTATTGCAAAGTTTCATTATAAGCAAGTAACTTTGGTTAAACCGTGAAAAAATATAGTAAAATGATTACTTTTACATGCTCGTTGGTATGTATGCATCATTTAAATATTCAATATTTATGTTTTCTACAAAGTAGTTATAATTTCATGGAAAATGTTTCGTAATTTATTGTCAAAACATGCCTAGGCGGGTAATCAATCAATCATAAGAAAAGCAAAAACAATTAAATGTAAAAATTTAAAATAGTGAACAACCTGTGCCTTAATCTATAAATTATGTCTATCAGTTTAAATCGGTTCAGAACTCACCCTCAAACTTTTCATACAGCTGGAAATCTAGCTTCTCGGGAACAAACTTTGGCCGCGTCACTTTAGACTCAGTCAGCTTGTCCAACGTGAGCGAGGCAACCTTCCTAAGCACGTTCGATTCCGTCACGACCGTGTCGCTGAGGCTCGAATGTCTCCGATCGCTTTCTGCAAGGTCCAAGTATTCACAAGATACAGTACCGAGTAATGTCAAAGTACTGGTGAAGCGCAGTCGCTTAAGTGACTAACGCCCTGTTTCTGAAGCACTGATCAACTAGTCAGCTGTCAAATGACTTTTCAAATGTTATTTAAGTTGTCATAGGTATGATTAAACTCTCTGAATTGGTCCGAATGATCTTAATGATCAGGGTTTCAGAAACCGGGCGTAAGAATACTAATTATATGTCTATGTTTTTTACGCGAACACCATAATGAAATATCATATTTGAATTCGTCCAAAAGTTAAGGCTGTAGAGCGTGCCAAATTAGACCTTATTGGTCTTGACACGCTTGAAAAACAATACCATCCTTTGGCAGTCGAGTAAAATATGCGATATAATTATGCTGCTGCGTTAATTTTTCCTTTTAGATGCGTTCATCTCGATAAATATTTTTGATTGGAAACTTCCAATCCAATTTTAACTAAAAGGAATTGTTTTATGAGGAAAGATGTAGCGAGCTGGGGGTTCATCTGGCCACCAGCCAGTAGCATCTATGACATCTTCTATTTGAAAAAGAGCAACTGTTGAGTTTCTTGCCGGTCTCTTCTCAACAAAAACTGCTTTCCGAAGCGGTGGTACCTTACGAACCTATATACAAAATTTTTGATGTAAAATTTGACGATTCATAGCGCGCAAGCGTTTATTTGAATTAATATATTTTTGATTTTCATTGACATCCATTGTTGCAGTTGTCTTAAAGGTATTGGTTGCATGATTCACAAGACGGAATAAAAATGTTTAAATACTTCGACATTAAGTATGATGTCTACGGATCCTATCTTACGAGCAGACGTTGCTGCGTAACTTTACCACGGTAATTTGTAAAAATTGTGCAACAACAAAACTTTATTTTCATCGATTTACTGTGATGTACTTATTATGAACTATCGATTTGAACTAAAATAAATAGCCTACAAGCCGCCGACAATCTAGGTTATCTAGGACGCCGGACGCATCAGTCTGCTCAGTGAAACATGCATGCATTCCGAATGCGTTTAAATCCTCAAAAATAGCAAATAATTCTGCCAAAGTTATTACTTTTTTATATTATTTCGATTTAATCATGTGCATCATTTATTGGTCCTATAACCATGAGTGCTGCATAGTATTGGTATTCCAAACGTCGGGATTTAAAGTTTAAATTAAATACAATAAAATACGTTAAAATAGTTTCATTTAACAAGTAGTGATTAAGTAAATATGATAATTTTAAACTTCTTTTAACCCAAAATGGTTTTTAGCAATAGATATATAGAGTATCTCGTCAATACGTACCTATGTTTGTGACACAAATATTCTTTCAATAATTATTAGTAGGCTTTGTACTCTTTGTAGAGTAATCGGATACTCTTATATTTCTTTATGTTCATTGCGGTACAGTGACGGATTTGTTTACCGTGATGTTCTACACGCAAGCTAGCTAAACAAGCCCACGGTAATCTTGTCTCAAGGTAATAGACTAATTGATTCATAGGAATGGGGTAAATAACGAAGAAACGGAACGAGACATGACGGTGTTATTCTTACTTTATTCATATTAATAGTAAACGTATTACATTGTTATACCATGTATGTATAAAAAGCACGCGTTCCTCCCACGGGGTTTAGTAGGGACAGTATTTTGCTTCGAACATTATTTTTTAAGGGAAAAGTTGGCAAGCGAGCAGGCGGATCACGTGATGGAAATTGTTTACCGCTGCCCATAGATGTCTACGAGAATACCAGAAGGATAGCACATGCGTTGCCAATTTTAACGCCGGTCTTTTGTGAGGCCCTGGTACTTTTTGGTACTACGTATCCGTTTGTACAAAAACGACTACTTAATGTAGGTAAACTATATTTTGTATTATACCATGAAACACCATTTGGTGTATTATAAGTATAGAGTATAACGAGGGGGAGCCTCTATGGCAATAATAAAAATAATGAAAAGTTTTTTCTGGCCTCTTGTTGTTTTCCATCTAAGTTGACGCCACTTTTCGTTAAGTGGAATTGTATTGGAATAGTTCTCTGTTAAAAAAGTTGTACAAATACTCTGGACACTCCTTTTCCGGCCTAAAAACCACCGCGTTCTATTCATCTCACATCGGGTCCCAGCGCTCTTTGAAGCAATTTTTCAACTCATTCACCATTCAAATTGATAAAAGACAATTAACTCCATAAAGTCAATGATTCTAACTGTAATAAAAAAACAGACCAACATTGGTCTGTTTTTGGAGATTATAGCACTTAAATTGCCAATGAAACAAATAAGGACCATGCTAATACCTTTTGCATTATCTATCACGCAAATGGGAACGTTATAAATACTAGACGCATACATTAATAATCGGAATAAAGAGAAATTGATTAATCATTTTAATGTTTACTATGGTAGGGCTACAGTGTACTGCTACAAGCGTAAATCCATACTAAATTTATAAATGTGAAAGTAACTCTGTCTGTCTGTCTCGCTTTTACGCCAAAACTACTGAACCTATTTAAATGAAATTTGGTACACAGATAGTCTAGTGCCTGGGAAAGGACTATTTTTAATTTTAAAAGTGTTGTAAAAGGTTGAAAATATCTTTCTTTAAAAATGTATATTTTTTACATACAAATGTACATTTAAGAGTATCAACGAGAGCGAAGCCACGGGCGAAAAGCTAGTGTTATATATTTTCATTTCGTCTGATGAAGTACCAATCATTAAGCAAACAAGCCGCCACAAGTGCTGCAGGTGTCCATGGCGGTGTTCACTTTAAAATAAGTAAAATATCTGCTAATTTAAAAAGGGAGAGAAAATATTTCTTTTTATACCTACTGCGAATACTATCCGTTGTTATTTTTTTATGAAATTCAGGCAATCTTAAGATTACTCAGTGGTCATCCTGCGAAGTTTGGCAAAGATTGGGTCAACAGATTAGGCCGTAAGTGTTATAAATTATGTAAGTTTCTAACAGAGGGGTAATTATAATTGAACGGAGTATGTACGTCACAATGAATGGTACGAAGTTTTCCAATCGAGCCTCGGTAATTTAAAACTAAAATTCGCAAAATAGCTATACTAGAGAAATGAAAGGTGATAAAAATCACAAGTTCTGACGTCTCCAATCACTCAAGAAGATATACTTTATCTGCTCGAGTTTCTTAAGCAACAGGTGTTTAAGTCTGTCGTACATATCTTGCACAGATGTTAGACAGCGGTATTTTCCTTCAAGAAAGTAGAAAAAAAAACAAACCTGATACGTAGTTTGTATTTGTAGTTATTAATATGTTAATTTAATTAATTTATTGTTTAGAGCAAAATAAGTATGTCATTTTTAATTAAGACTGCTCTACACATTTTCAACTAATGCAAATAATTAATTGTAAGGACCATTTACATATTATTAAAGACTTTCAATTACAAAAGAAAGCTATCAAAGGTGTTTTAAATCAATATGTGATCGCCAATTGTGCGTGTACTTTCAATGCAATGGAATAAATTTAGTAGTAACGCTATGGGCATTTCTATTATTTTTGGGATAACTTAACAGCTCATTTCTATAGACTGACCGTTTTCGAGGACGCCGAGAGATCTCTCGCATGTCGTCACGGGCGGCAGGTCAACCTTGCGATGTTTGGAGAGGGTGAACGAAGTCTGCCCCGCGCACGCCTTAAGCCGGTTCTCGAGGAAGTCGTGACCGCACTCGTTCGGATCAGAATCGTCGTGTCTCGACCTAGATAATATACCGCCCATGGTCTTTTCACCAGCGGCGCACTCATCGAATGTGTCAAGTTTGTTTATATTTTCTTTTTCGCAATCGTACGTCGGCGTCGTGGCGTCAGCGCGCGGCATGTTTACAACCGGCCAGCACTGTTCCGGCGCGGCGTCTGCGTCCAGTTCCAGTGCAACATTTATCTGTGCGGGTGTTGCCGCGCGGAACGGTTCGTCGTGCGCGCTGTCGCTCTCCGCTGAGTAGTAGCACTGGTTGAGCTCGACGGCGAGCGGCGTCAGGGGTTCCGTGTACACTGACTCCGAGTTGGAGTCGTTGGGCGGCAGCGGGTGGTCGCGGGTCGGTGACCGCCGCACCGCGCGCGCCTCGCACCTGGACACCGTTACCTCCGACTGCACGCTGCCCGACTCCGCTCCGCCCGCGCCCCCGCGCGATGTTTTTTCTCGGCCGCATCGTTATCGGATGCCTCGATCGCTTCATTGTTATCGGAGTCCGGCGTTTTATCGAACTCCCTGTCGGACGCCTCCCGCTTCGCGTTGCTCTTTTTTCTAGAACGCTTCTTCCCCTCCTTCAACGATCCCCTCCTGTTCAAGTTGCGAATGAAGTGTTTGCCTTTCGCTGGTGACTTTCCAGCCTTAGAGTGCTTCTCGTTGGCTTGCGTGTTACCCATTTTTCTATGGCACTAAAACGAATACACTAATACGTCATCAAATTAAATAAAAGCTTTTAGTATAAAACAGAGATTATTACAGTGATAACTTGGTATTTAGTATAAAAACCTAATAGAAACAAAGTCACAGCCCATCATTTGAGATCTTCTAGCCAGACATGCGCAGTCGTGTATTTCCTAAGAGGCCTAATCAATACATAAAAAACATCAAAGTTAAATTTCTAAACACTAAAGTTTTAATATCCGATTAATTTATTGTGTGAACATCATTTTTAAGTTTTTGCACATCGTATTCTCATGATAAATTATTTTAAGCATACAGTACATATGCAGTTCTTTTAAAAATAAATTTCGGTATTTTGCGGCAGGTGGCGCGTGTACCAGTTTACGATATCCATCCTTACAGTCGAATGCAAAAAGTGTAAATACATACTTGGCCGTATGTATGCCACAACATTAGATTATTACAAAGAAACGTCTAAAAATTAATAGTAATAATTTCTAATGTATACATGAACATAAAAAATACTGTGAGACGGAGAATCCTTTGTAATTCAAGAAGTATTCGAGAAGTCGGAAAATTAAATTAAATCCAAAGACGCAAAAATATTTTAATTTATTAATGATGGTAATACATCACACACTAATGTTTCATTTGTTATAAATAAACAAATGCTATTTTACTAATCGTACGTAAAGTTTACGCCTTTATACCACTAGCAAAGACAATAGCGCGCTGATGCTCGGTCGGATCCAAACCATCTTCGCCTCATTATATTTTTTTCCCACATGCTTTAATGCTAAAGATGCCAGCTTTCTTTAACCGTCACAATGTACTCAACGAGCATTATTATTGCATTAATTACTTACGACTTGTGCGTTCAATTTATTCTGTGAAGTAGAATAAAAGTAATGTAACAGCCTGTATATATCCAACTGTTGGGAAAAACCTCCTGTATTAGGGCATAGTCTACCACGCAGCCCTTATGCGAATTGACGGACTTCAAATACAATATCAGCCTATCTTTGTCCACTGCTGAACGTAAGCCTCCCAAGTGTACCAACTATCCGGGTCCTGGGCAGCCCGCATCCATCTGCCCGCCTTTGGCCTTTCTTAAGTCGTCAGTCTCAGGACTTCACATATCTTATATAAATATATTTTTTATTATTTCGAAAATATGCAGGTTTCCTCACGTGTTTTCCTTCACCGCTGAGCACGTGAAAATTCAGCACTTAAAATAACAATTTTATTGGTGCTGGCACCGGAGATCGAACTCAGGTTGCTCGGGTATTGAATTAAAAGCGAGCGCCTGGACAATTAATTGATGAAATTATTCTGTATACAGCGTGTCGTTACAACCGCAACAATAAATGAACACACTTCTACAGGATAACTTTTTGAAAAGGTATTAAACATTTTCATTATTTAAACATCAACAGTTACCGAGTTATTAAATTTTCAATTTTAGAACACCCTTACGTATAAAACTGTAACGTAAAATTCATTTGTAAAGGTCACAAAGCATGAATGGATTGAATGAATTTAAAGGTGATAAAACATATTGTTAGAAGGAGAGATTTGTAGTCTCTGAATGTATGAATCAGTCAGTTGTAGTTGTATAGGACAGGAGGATGTTGCAAATTTTGTTTCTTTAATATTTAATTAGTTTGTTTGAAAAATATTTTTTTAGTTATGGATTTTTTTTTAAAGTTTATACGCTACTTGCCAATAATCATAAAAAATATTTATGATTATTGGCAAGTAGCGTTACAGACATTTGATTAATAACATATACACATTACTCTGAACCCATTATTAGAGGGTTGAGAAAACTATCAAGAATTTTTGCAACTTCCCCTAAGATAGTGCGATGCGCTAGAGCGTTCTCAATTCTCAATAAAACAAAGTTCATCGAAAGCCAGTGTGTTTTCAAGCTATCTGTTGAGTTAGTCTAATACTAATCGGGACTGGTATCAGGCGTGGATTTAATTAATGGGACTCAATTTTTTAACTAACATTTTAACCGTTTCGAACAACTTAATAAACTGCCTCTTGCAAAATTTGACTGTTGATAAAATGGAATGAGTTAATAGTAGGTTTAGAAAACATTAGACAAATATATTATGTCGAATGTAATCAATTTACCACTCACATTTCTATTTTTAAGAGTGTGTTATTTAGTCATAGTTTGTAGATCTACAGCGTGTCGTTACCATCGCGACAATAAATGAACACACGTCTAACGCTACTTGCCAATAATCATAAAAAAATATTAACGTTAAACAAAATCCATAATTAAAAAAAAATATTTTTCATACAAACTAATTAAGTAACAAAGAAACAAAATTTGTAACATCCTATAAAACTCGCGCCACAGCGTCGTATTACAAGCCTCTCCTTCTAACAGTATGTTTTGTCTCTTTTAAATTCATTCAACCCATTCATATGCTTTGTGACCTTTACAAATGAACTTTCCGTTACGCTTTTATAGGTAAGGATGTTCTTAAATTCATTGTTTTGGAAAATTTAATAACTCTGTAAATATTGATGTTTTAAGAATTTAAATGTTTAATACAACTCTAAAAAGTTATCCCCTATATGTGTGTTCATTTATTGTCGCGATGGTAACGACACGCTGTATATGGGGAGATATTCCTAAAAGATTAACAGAATTAAAAGAAATCTCAAGTTTTTTGTAAAAGTATTTATTTTCGAACAGTCTTACATGAATATTTACAAAAAAATGAACTGAAGTATAATCTAATTCGTAGATCGCCTTATAATCTAACCGAAATGAATAATATGGCATGAAATAGTTTTCCGATGTTAGTCTCATCCGTATTATAAAATATAACGCTAAATACGCGAACCACAAAAGCGGTACAACGTTAGAATTCAAGAAAACGTCAACATGGCATTACGAAGTAATTTTCTCCCATAGCTCTTACATAAATGCATGTTATACAAATCTCAAGCGATAAACGCGAAAATAAAAACGTCAAAATAGTCCATTAACATTGCTTGTGTTTACAAGTTTTTAACAGGTTTTAACAGTACTTAGTATAAAGATACACATATTGCAAAAATGGCATATTTTAAAAAATATTCAAAACTGTTCATAGACATTACGGTATAAGTGATTTCACGTATTACATTTTAAAAGTCGGGACAGCTTTTTCTATAAAATACTATTTTAACTAGAGCTTTAATAATCCATTCCAACGTATAATATAATACAGGACCTAATATATTTTATGAAAAGCGACATTGAAGAAAAAATATAAGGATATCGTAATGGGGAACGGACGATATTCCCCTAGTTGCACTAAATTAGTTTATAGGAAAATTAATTACAAAGCTATAGTTGATAGCATAAAAGAAATAAATTTTACTTTATAGAAAAAATACAGATCTAAAAAGATAATATAATATCCAAACTTTCATTTACTACTTATCTACATACAATTTAAAATAAAAAAAAATTATATACCACATCAAATTATCAATGACGCGGTACATCTTGTACGTATTTCAAGTGTCCAAATAAAAAAATACTTGTAAATAAATATTACCTTAACAATTTGACTTACATACAAAAGGGTTGTTCCAAAGAGTTATAGATTTTTAGATATAATTTTGGACGGTAGAACAACTGCAAGGATATTTTATTCTCTGAGTGTACAGAAGAAAAATACATTAAGTTACTTGCACAATGAAAACTCCTTCTAGGTGTATAATATAAATTCAATATCAAATACTTTGTTTGAACACTATCAAATATTGTCGAAGAATTACGATTTGTATTCAAAGAGAAACTATGTGGTTTAAATGTAGTAATTCATTTTTCTATATTAAACTTAATAAACCTGGCCACATTTCTCTATGGTTCTTCCGTTTCTGTTTACACTTTGGACTAGTAAGTATACAAAATCACTCTCCTGTTCGATAAGTTGTGAACAAATATCAAGTCAATCCATCGGCTAATTTTTCAGTTTTTTAGATAGATACATTTTTATACATAAATAACATAAGAAACAACCCATATAATAATTTTAAGAGTAAAATAATTTCATATTTCATCGAGTTAGAAAACAATTTAAGTACTAAACAAAGGTGGGCTTAATTTGCGATAACATTCAGTTTATGAACTATTGAGATTTTAATCAATGATATTTTAATAAAGTATTGTAGATACAAGAAAAGATATGTCACTGAGATATTGTACACTTACGAAAGAAGAATTCGAGTGTCAGCGGACTTCATTCTAATGTCTATTTTAGTTCGAATTTATTAAACAGCTAATAAATTATACAGGGAAAATATTTCACAGCGTTTTATAAAATGTAAAATGCTGTGAAATGTTGTCCATTCCAGTGATGTTTGATATAAAAAACATATGTTTATTACTGCAAAAATAACATTGAATTAAAAATCAGGACCTACCAAGAACTCGTGTCATAAAAAGCCATAAAACTTTCATACATCAAAAATACAGCACAAACAAATTATAAGAAATAAAACAGTGCTCATGTTGTTAATGCATCTTTCATGATGGCTGCAAACACAATATATTGCTATAAAATCGGTGGTAGTTAAGTGCACAAAATGATTTTACTTAATAATAACTGATTGTTAGGCAAATGGTGTAATATTAACTATGCTTTGTACTACACTTTCGTTTCGTGCTTAATAAATTCAAAATAAGAAAAAAATTCTAAAGTTCATTCCTCCACATATTGCATGGAATAAACAATATAAGAACAAAGACACGCGACACTCGAAACAAGTAATGGAATTTATCTACATATATAGAATTGTCAGCTTCATAATTGTCTATACAAATGTAAAAAATATATTACAAATCTATGTTAATTAAATAAAGTGTAGAATTTTCTACTGCCAGTACTATTCTACACATTATTTACTGCCTATTACTTTTTAAGTTTGTAGATATATAAATTGTCCAAAAGATTCAAAAGAAAGTTTGATGAAATAAGGCCAAAATAAATACTACCATGTCCAAACTTATGTCTACATTTCATGTATTTTGGAATAAGGCTCTTGAAACCAACTGCCGTTGTGATGGTATAAGTATTCATGAAGGCCTTATACCATATTACATAATATTTATAATCAAAAACTAAAGTGATGTAATGACAAAAGAATGGAGGTACTCTTAGTGACACTATGTATACTAAATCTAAACTTATTCTACACATTTACAATTCCCCTAAACATTAATCTGAAAACATCATATGCATTATTCTGCACTTCAATATTGGCACTTAACTGTTACAATCCTCTGTTAATCAACATTTCCCTTACCTTAAAATTAAACACGCTTTATATTTACATGTGCGTTGCAGATTATAATGGCTGTGAGAGCTTTACAATGTCAAAATACCACTTAAATTATATCATTCATTCATATTAATTCCTATATTTTAAGTACAAAATTCTAGTCACACATTGTAAAATTTTTGTAATGAAATAAATGCTAATCACATTTAATTGCATTAACAAATAACAATCTTTGTAAAATTCATTAATGGTAGAAACAATATAAATTGTTTTTTCTTCAGTCAACCAGATTTTTGTCTGACAGGACTTTTGTAATCTGAATGTACATTTTGACAAATCATTAAATCTAGTTAATGTGAAAATATATATTCTTTAGTGTTTGCTAATATATAAACGTTGTTATTACTATTACTGTTGGTCTAAACCCATATCATTGATGCCTTTTAGCCTCAGACAATAAAGTATATTTTGATTGACTTCTTTGACCCAATTGTTTGGAAGCATGAGTGATTGAGATCGATCAGAACTATATGACGTTAATTATAATTAAAACTTGATAAGCCTATCTGTTCCTATTCATATGTAAACAATTATTTCTAATGATTTGTATAACTTATATAATGAGTAGATGCCGCAATATTTGACGGATTTAAAAAAAACATGAAAAAAATTTATGAATAATGTACAAGTTGAGTCAGTCCATAATGCTTATTTGGAATCATGTCTTGTTTGTATTTATTTTCTTTTTCTAGATAGGGAAATTAGAAAATAAATAAGGAGATACATATCCTCGAAAAAAAAAATGAATATACATTTTAATTTTAGTTCAAAATAATTCGATATTTTAGTTTAAAATTGAATGTTATAACATCAGTGCACAAATAAATTTAAATTCATGCTGTGTATTTGCATAAATATCCATATATTTTTGCTATCCTGTGATGTAGTAGCTCACGAAAATAATGAGCGAGTTATCTGCTGAGTGTCCAGACTCCAGCTTACTACTTGTAATAAATTGTGAGCACAAAGTTTTATTAACATGGTAAATAACTTGACAGGGACGAGATGATTCGAAAACAAGCATAGGGAAATGAATGGAGCAATAATATTCCATAACACTCAGCCAATAAAACACTTCACTTCATTGCTTGAATTAATATGGTACCACCGAACATCGAACCATTCCCATGGTAGGCAACACATGTTGCTTTTTAGTCTATAGCATCAACTGGTACCTGGTGATCGCTGGATGTATGCGTGTATGTGTGTGTGCAGAGTGCACTCGTGTACTTATGTGTGTGTGCGCGTTCGAACGGGCGGTCACACGATGATCTCGCGGATGACGCGCCTGGCGCGCGAGTTGGGGGTGGAGTACCCGGACTCGAGGGACTCGTCGTAGCTGAGGGAGAGCGGCGGCGGCTTGTCCTCCGCGCCCCCCTCCTCAGCGGCCGCGTACGCCTCCGGCAGCCCGCTCACCTCGTGGTACGGCGACTCTGCACGATTGCACGAACGTTAAGGAACGCTTGTTTTATATGAGCACACGATAATGTTAACCCTAGCTACAGTAGATGCGTGTATTGCATTTGTATTTCGTCTTAGATTCTGCAATCTAGATCTATTGTAGTCTTCACTTCGAAAACATTGCCTGTTACTGTGGGACACCATCCTGTGTGGTAAGGACGTTTTTACATGCATAATTTTTACGTGGACAATACCCAGATCCGGAACAATCATTTGTGGGTCACACAAATACCTTTTTAATAATTACTTTGATAAGATTGATGTTTTGTGTAAATACTCTAAGCAGATGTATAGAACATGGTCAAACAGTCTTTCGGTTATACAAATAACCCTAGAAATCAAACCCAAAAAGCGGAACTTATGTAGCAGCAGTGGTAACCGAGCCATCCATGGTAGTTAGAGTGAGTAAAGATTTGGTTTACATATTAATATAGGAGGATAATTTTATTGTATTTCTGAGTCTAACAAATGATTTTTTTTATCATATTTTTCAATTTAATCAGGGGTGAAAGAAATACAAATAGTTTAGGACTTTATATGACTCCTTGATGCAGTTGCAAAGGTACTGACTTCGGCGCCGGCGGTCACGGGTTCGATTCCTACACGGGACACCTATTTGACTCACAAATAATTTTTTCTCCCTCTGGGTGTTTGTCCATGTGATGTTTATGTTTTTAAAACATCCTTACAATACAAGATAATTGAATCCTACAGTAAATTAAGGCAATGTTAGAAAAAAAAGACGGTATTAAACTATAGGGGTTTACCTGTGTGCTGTTCCATACGCTTCTTGGGCTTGTGCACGGACGCGTAGGAGTCCGAGCAGTAGTCCTGCCGCGAGGGGTTCTGCGAGGTGCGCATGTAGTCGGCGTTGGGCGGGCCGTGGGCGGCGTGGGCGGTGTGCGGCAGCGGCTGGTAGGCGGCGTAGTCGTCTATCGTTCCGTAGCCGGCGTGCATTGGGTCGTAGCCGTAGTTGCTGCTACGCTCCAGCATCATCATTCCGGCGTTGTTGGCGGCGGCCATTTTCATCTGCCACAGCGAGTCCTGCGAGTTCACGCTGCCGCCGTTGTTGCTGTTCGCGTAGCCCTTGTCCATGTAGCCGGTGTTCACCCCTGTTTATCAGAGACCTGGTTTAAATGTGTTTAGGAGAAATTGTGATGATGAACATTCCAAAGTTTCGTCTATGGGTTTGTTCATTCTTTATGTTGCAACGGCTGGATTGAATGGAATGAAAAGGAATCTTAATATTAAACGATTCTTGTTAATCCAATCTGTTGCGCCTTACATCTACAATTTTGAATGGTGCATAATTCTCATTACTCTCTCTCTCTCTCTCTACACTCTATCTACTCTCCTCTCTATCAACAGTAATAATATTATATACTAATAATATTATGTACTAATAATAATATATAAAGAGGAAAGATTTGATTTTTTGTAAAATTGTTTGTAATTGCTAAACTCAAAAAGTATTTAACCTATTATAAAATAATCTTTCACCTATAGTTAGCTACATTATTCCAGAGTAACATAATATACTACAAAATGAAATTCGTGAGGACAGCAAGTTTCTTTAATAAAAGCACACTTACAGTCCAGATTAGACATGTTTTGTCCGACATGCGTGGGCGTGGCGTGTGGCGCAATGTGATATCCGTACGCGGCCTGCGTCGCGTACACGGCATTCTTCGAATCGTCCATGGACAGTTCCATCGAATGTTCCAGAGCTTTGTTCTCCATGCCAGCATTGGGGTACTCCATATATGGCGGTGGCGCTTGATTCTTGGGCGACGTAAGCGACATTCCGTGGCCTATCGAGGCCATCTCATAGTCTTTCTTCTTCTTCTCGGTACGCTTGCACCGGCAGAAAATGAAGAGCAGAAACAGGAATAGAACGAACACTATGACCGAAACCACGATCGCGATTAATGTTGCTGTCGTCAAGGCGGACGCTTCCTTGATGTAGGCTGGACCAACTGTTAACAAGATTCCATATTAGTATACAGTTCTGTACAAAAATAAAGGGGCAGAGGGAGAATTATTAATTCTGAGTTGTTTAACGTCGATTACAATGATTGTATTACTTAGTCTTTCCTTTAAGCCCTCTTTGCTGTTTTCTAAAAGCACGGGCAATATTTCGTTATTATTATGTCGTATTCACTTTTCGAATTCTAAGGTAGGCCTGTGGAGTAAGCTTATCCGTAATAATAATTTAGTAATTTATCTTATATGAATTACAATAAACCGAAATCAGAAACTTTTATAAACAAATTTACTACCAAACCGGATTTCAAACATATATCGTGTCTCTTTCTCATATGTAAATCTTAGCAGAAATAACTCAAAATGTTATAAGATATCCAAGAAAACTCAGTGCAAGCTATTGGTGATGGGTATCTTACATTGCCAATCCGAAGTATTAGCCACTAAAGTTTCGTCATACCGCAAATGCACTTCGCACAAACGCTGCGAATGGATTCATTCGGCACGATTTGAATTGAGCATGTTAAATTTTACTCATTGCGAATGCGCATTCGCCGTGAGTATTCGCTGTGTGTGAAAGGGTGAGTGCCCTTCGGTGCGAGTAGACATAGAGATATTTGTATTTGGAGCACCTACAGACTCGCTAGACTGCCGAAATCGTGTGTAGAACTCGCTGTGTGTGAAAGACAGGCAGCGAATTCTCGCTGTATCATTCGCGGCGAGTACACTTGCGACGGGATTTTATTTCGATTTCTATACTTATTAATTATTTTCCGTGTAGATATCATATGTGACAACAGTAAACAGTAAATACGCACTGTCCGCCTCTACGTAGTTGCTGCAGACGTCCTGGTTGTTGAGCAGGCAGAGGCGCAGGCGGAGCCGCGGGTTGAGCTCGTCCATGGGGGGCGGCACGGCCGGCCCCCGCGCCCCCGCCTCCGCCGCGCCCGGCGCCGCCAGCACGCCCCTCTGCACGCTGCTGCTCACCCCAGAAACGCTCAGCGGTATCGTCTCCACCACCTGCATTTACGTCACGGTCATGTTATGATGTGTACGTGTCTATGTGTGAAAGCTGTCGCGCTTTAGTTAAAAATTTGACGTCGGCCGTAAGGCCGTTTGCTGTGAGACGAATTTATTGTAGATACGATTGTCGGAGACTCATTGAAACGATCATTGGTTATTAGAATGTCGCCTTTCGATTTATACAAAGCATACGTTAATTAAATCTCTGTACAGAGGGCTCTCCCCAGCAGTGGAACATTTATAGGCTGTTACTTTATAAGGGAACTGCTAGTCTTGGTGGCGGCGTCGTACCTGCCATCCGCCGGCCCTCCCCAGGCCCTCCGCCACGGCCACCAGGTCGAGGCAGGTGGCGCCGACGCTGAACACCACCGCGCGCGTACTCGGATCGTACGTCAGCTGCTCCGGCGGCGCGATCTTGTCGACCTTCGTCGTCACCGTTATCTCGTTCGAGTAGTTGCTCTGCCCCTTCGTGTTCACCGCTTTCACCTTGAAACGGGAGAATTTTGGTTAAAATTTGTAGAAAATTGGACGTAGCTTTTCACCGTTGCGGTCATCGAACCCACGTCTTCAAGGTTCGTGCCCAGATGCCTTAGCCTCTAAGCTAAATGTGTGATTACCAAACCAACGAAATTCTCAACGTGTTTCTACATTGTTTAAGAAATGCTTGGCGCATCTATTTTTATGTCCTTAACAACTTCTATGTTACATACATTGACCTTTCTAATCTCAATGCTAAGAAAATCACCTGACTAATATGTGTTGTGTGAAAGGGGAAATGGTAAGTCCCAGATGGTAAAACCATCGCAAGGGGTCGCTCGGGGGCTCTCTTCACTCGCGAGAAATTTACATTATATGTAAAATGTACAGGATAACGTTATCCTACAGTGACGGCAGTGTTTAAAAAAAACACTTTGAGTAGGTGTTTTGCTGCTCGAGAGGCGTGACGATGCACGGGTTTGCGCGAGTGCAGTCCTGTTTCATGACTGGGTGGCGCAGTTCTCGAGGCGTTGGCGCCGCAACAAGGGGTCGCAGGTTCGGTTCCCACACGGGACAACTATAGTTATATACAGTTGTACAACTGTTCGGATCGAGGTGTTTTTCCGCGCGTAAAATTCCAGCACAGCATAACGAATCCCGTTAAAACAAACCAAGATCACCTTGAACGAGTAGGTGTTGTGCTGCTCGAGGCGCGTGACGTTGCACGGGTTGGCGCGCGCGCAGTCGTACTCGCGCCAGCCGTCGTCGGCGCGCGGCGCGCACTGGCCGCCGCCGGCCACGCGCCGGTACAGCACGAAGTACTTGGTGGCGAGGCCGCCGTCGAAGCCCGCCTCCCAGCGCAGCGCCACGTGGCCGGCGCCCACGCGCTGGCTGGCCAGCGCGCGCGGCGGCTCGGGCGCGCCCTTCGGCTGCAGCACCACCAGCGGCGATATCGCGCCGAGCGCGTTCTTCGCGCTGCACCGGTACTCGCCGTAGTCCTGCGGGCGCACGCTGCGAATGCGCACCACGCTGAGGTACGAGTCGCCGTCCTCGGCCGACGTGATGTCGTAGCGCTCGGACGGCTGCAGCGGCGCCCCGCCCCCGAAGTGCCACACGAACTCGGGCTTCGGGTACGCGCGCACGCGGCACGATATCTCCGCCGCCTCCATCACGTCGAACGCCACCTTCCTCTGCTGCCGGATCGATATCGGCTCGTCTGGAAATTCGAGAGTACAAAATGTAGCATGCTATAGACGCTGCTATGCTCACTGCAGTGTGACTTTTGTTTTTTCTTTAAGGAGCTATTTAAAAATTGTAATAAAATTACCATCGTAACCCGAATTCTAGCTCGGGGCATATGAGTGTGCTTGATAACTAAATCAAAATAGTTGTTATAAAATATATTTTCTCAGCAACATAAACATCGTTAACTACCAATATTATAAACTTTCACGTATTTTTTCTTGTGTGTGAGAAGGAGGCAAGCGAGCTGGAGGTTCCCTCATGTAAAGTGATATGCGCCGTCCATGAAAGTTTGCAACAACCGTAGGGTTGCACATGCGTTGCCATCTTTTAATAACGATCTCCGCTACCTTTATTGACCAGAAAAAACGTCAAAGTATAACACTTCCACTTCATGCCGGTCTTCTGTGAGATCGTGCTACTACCCCAGACGGACCTGGCCATCCGTACAACAGCGAACTGTTCCGTGACCACAGTAAATTTATGTACTCACGCTCTATCCTGAGGTGCATGGACGACTCGATTTTCTTCACTTCGTTCTCGACCGCGCACGTGTACGAGCCCCTGTCGTCCGGTATGAGGTCGTTGACGTTGGGCCGCGCCTTGCCGTAGAACCTCAGAGTGCTCTGCACGTTGTACACGGAGTCGCGGCCCTCGGTGACGTCCGTCTTCACCTCGTACAGGTTCACGTCCGGCTTGATCTCGGAGTTGTCCTTGTACCACTTGACCGTGGGCAGCGGCTTCCCGAAGGCGCTGCACGACAGCGAGAAGTTCTGCTCGCGTGAGCGTTTCGTCGCGTGCGGCTGCAGCTTCGACTGGAAGCGGGGCGGCTGGTGCACCTCGAGCGTGACGGACGCGAGCTCGCCGTGGCCCAGCTCGTTGGTGGCCTGGCAGTGGTAGACGCCCTCGCTGCCGAGGTGCGCGTTCGGTATGTTGTACGTGGCGCCGGTGGCGAGCACAACGGGGTTGGCGTCGGCGGCGTCGATGTCGCGGAACCAGCGGAACTGGGGCGCGGGCCAGCCGGGCGGCTTGGCGCTGCACGCGAGCGTCACGCCGGCGCCCTCTTGCGCCACCGGCCGCTCGGGGCTGATGTGCGCTCTGCCCGGCTTGTGGCGCACCAGCACCGCCACGGACGCGCTGCTCGCCCTCTCGATCCGGTTGCCGCCGCTTGTGGAGATGACGTTCAGGGCCCTGCACGTGTACGTCCCCGCCACGTCGGCGTCGACCCTTGTCAGTGTCAGCGTCTTCCCTTTCTGACGGAACTCCGGTTTCCCCTCCATCGTCCACTCGATGGAGACCGGCTCGGGGTTGGCGGAGACGTCGCATCGGATCTCCACGTTGCCACCCTCCTCCGCCTCGTAGGTCTTCGAGTCGATGGTGACGGTGGGAGGGTAAAGGACGTCTAGAGTTATCTCTTTCTCTCCGGGTCTCCCGAGTCCGTTGTCTGCCGAGCAGGTGTACTGGCCGGCGTCCTGCACCGCCACCCCTTGTATCGTGTGCGAGAAAGAGTTGGATATATATTTCCCGTTTCTTGTCCAACGCACGCTCGTCACTTTGGGCTTAGCATCGACTTTGCACTCCATCGTTGCTGTGCCGTCCACTTCTACACGCAGGGGATTCTCCGGCCCAACTTCCACTCGCGGGAAATCTACAGAAAATTTTAATAAAATCACCACAAGTAATGATTGAGACAAACGCTGATTTCTTATTAATAAATTCTTGTATTTCTTTAATCAGATCTTTCAGCACCAGGGAAATATCTTAATTTGTTTATCGAGAAGTTAATCATTACTACAATGTAATAAATCGCACAAAGTTGGAAGAGTAACACAGTTACCAAACTTGTGTCCTCAAATTGGAATAGAGTTAATATTTAATATAAAAACGAACGCATACATATATACAAAATGTTTGATAACTAGAACACAGGATATGAAAATAAAAAGTTCTGTACGTGGAATCTCATGACGTCCAAAGGCGTAAAAGACATAAAAACACGATGATGACTGTGTTCAACATCCGTTCAACATCTCAAAATCGAACTGTGGCAAGTTTCACAATTCCTTAAGCATAATTTAAACAGGAATTCTTTCGTTTAACGGATGTACTGGCGCTCCAGTTACGAACCGCAGCGCGAGTGTTTATGCCTGTCGGAACTATGTCGGATTTAGAACATACATTGCACTCATTAGCGGTCCGAGCTTTTGATTCGGGTCGGTGGATGCGCGTCTGGAAGGCTTGCGCATAAATAAACAGGTATATCAGAAGTACGGATGGTGTAAATATTTATAACGCGTCTGCGAAACGCTAGTAACACCATGATTTCTGGAACGTCCGTAACACCAACTTGAAGATAAATTTCTAATTGGATGCAGGCATAGTTATGAAATAGATTAAGTCCTAAACTGAAACATATTAAAATGTTAAGCAAAGACTCCTTTGGAATATATGGTATAACAAATTCTTAATGTTGCATGAATATTTTCAAATAGGCAACAGTTTCCTAAGCTTAACCAACATAGACATCAAAAAATGCTACGGATATGGTAGTGTGAAAAAACTTAAATAATTTTTGTTAACTAACTGCACATATAACTATGTTCGATAACCCTTAGGCCATCTATTTTTATAAAGATCATTCATTTATTTATTTTATTTTTAGTATTGTATTAGAGATTTAGAAATAATTATTGATTATTATGATATAATCAAGTTTATCTAATGTTCGAATATTTCGAATATTGTAAGTCGGTTAAATTTTTTATATTAATCAAAAATCTAAAACTCTGAACATATTTTTGACCCGTGTTGGTAATAACTGGGAAAAAAAGAACTCTAAAGTGTACTTTATCTAAAATTTACATATCGTAATTTGAACATGAATTGAATATTATCTGCGAGATCACAGCCCGATGGTGACCCTAGCGATAGCTTACATAAAACATTTTTCTGGCCAATGCAGCGACTAGCAGTTTGTATGAAGCGCGAACGTAAAATGTCATATTACGCAAGACATGGAGGAGGCTAACCAGTCGCAGCTTCGTATTTATTATAACGGTAGTTAATATTACACCGTTGGAAACTGCACACCGAAAGATTTACGTTTTCAACGATTCATTGGAAGCAATTACAATTCTTCGTATAGGTAGGGCGCAGTGGGAACACAGAATAATAAGTGTCGATTTCATAAATCTATGTGCAATCTAGTGGCAATCGTTTTTTTTTAGAATTTGAAAAAAGAATTTCATTACATAATATTTATGAGACCTAAAATGTGTTCTTTTTAGCCCAGTGGTTATAAGTTTATTGGTCTTATATGACGTACAACACTTGAGTCTGCATGAATCATGTATTAGAAAAATATGTTCTCTATTCTTGCATTGCACGGCCGAATGAATCCATGTTTGTTTGTATGGATTACGCAAGGCCGCTGGGTTTTGTGAGCGAATTAAATAAATATTTAATCATTTCCCACACTTTTAACCGTTACGGAAATAAAGAAATTTTTCCTTTCCAAATATGTATCACACAATCTGTTATTTAATGGTGAGCATAATTAATTGATTAAAGAGCTAATTTTGCATGCAAACCAATTTTTGTATAATATGACAAAAGTTGAGAACATGTTTTGGCTGTCGGCAATATTATAAAAATAAAAAATGTAAAATTTAAGTTACAATGTTTTTTGTCGTTTCTGAGAAAAAAAGTCCTAATAAGTTAAATCTTTATTGACGATTCCCTGATGTACAAATCTTGTCAAAGATCTACTACCAATGAAATTAATATTTGAGCACATGGCAGCTAAACTGAACTCAATGCAATATAATGTCCAAAATCGGTTCATCGGGAAGGAGTTCTGAGATACAAACAAAAATAAAAAGAACTGAATTCACCTCTTTTTTTGAAGTTGTTTGAAAATGCAGACTATAACGAATAGACACAAAACGCATCTATTCGAAACCAGGTGTTCTGTACTTTTTTTTTCTTTTTGAACCCGCAAAGTAAGTATTATTATTAACTCATTATTGTAATTAGTTTGTTTTATTTTCGCCACCGAAGCAACTGTGGACTATCTGGTAACACCTGTCGACCGGTTCGACTGCATAAGTTTACGATCGAAACGACAAATTATCACACAACGCCTTAATACTTAAACAACTTTTTTAATATGGCAATATTTATTTTGAGTTTTGGAGGTATTGTCATTGGTTTCATTAATTCAAAATTTCTCTCATTTTGTTTATTAGAAAATTTGTCTAAAATGAATGCTTTATTAGAGCAGCCAGCCCTGTACTCTCGGGCTCATAGAATAGGGTTAATCCCCTGCCTGTCGTAAAAGGCGACTAAAAGGGGACAAGGATTGGCAGCAGCACGAAGTGGTCTCACGCGCAACACAGAGGAACACCGGTGCGTAACCTAGATTCCAGAGTCCCACCAAACATGCCGAAGGTTGCCAAGGAGGTTTTAGTGGGTAAGAACCCCACATAACCCTGTCATGTGAGGTGACAGAGTATCTTTCGAAGATAACCCGATACAAAAAAAAAGTTTCTCTCCTTGAAGGTCGAAAAAGGCCACTTACAATTGACGCTGAGCTGGACGGTGGCGTTGTACTGGCGGCCGTCGGCCATCGCTCGGTTCCACACCACGCAGCGGAAGACCGCGGCGTCGTCTTCCCTATGCGGCATCAGCACCAGCGTCGCCACCGAGGGTTCGGCTCGCGTCCTCCCGTGCTCGACTGACGCCTCCAGGGCAGCCGGAGAACCCTCGCGGTACCACCTGTACAAGGAATGGAATCACATTCGTACACACTTGTAGAAAGACATTTCTGGTATATTGGCGATTTTTTTTTAAATTAAAAACCTTCACTCTTACTGTAAGATAACATTGCCCTGTGTTGTATGGAAGATTTATACACATACGCCTGGTTTCTAAAACACTTATCCACGTAGATGTCAACTAATCAGCAAATTTGACAGCTGATTAGTGGACATCAACGATGATCAGTGTTTCAGAAACCGGGCGATAATAACACAGGTCCAAAGTAATTATCTGTGGATCACGGAAATAGTTGTCCCGTGTGGGCATCCCCGGCCACCGAAGCCTGCCAGTGATCAGTTCTGCGATCGATTAATCGATGTTATAGAGCCAGGAGATAAGGGAAATTTTTCATATAACGAATTACTATAAAGAAAAACCTAAGATAACAGACCAGCCCCAAGAAGTAATTTGGAATCCAATTTGGTACCAAACACAAATGTAACATATCGCGGCCCATGGGCAACTTTATTACAGGTGTCAATAGAACTCATTTAGAATTATGGGTACGCTAGTCCCAAAGGTTGATGTCGTTATTTATCAAATGGATAATATGAGTCTAGATTCCAACAAGAGACTAGTAGAATTATAACTAATGGAAGGCTGAATCATAACTTTGAGTGCACCGTTTCCTTATTTTTTTATACAGCACTAGCACTAACGAAGAACGAATCGATCGCCAATGTTTCGTAACGAATGTTAATTTAATTGGCCATTAAGTGTTAACTGCGAAGACCTCTCGTTATACAACGAAGCTGTGCACAGGAATTTTAAAGTCTATTCTGATTGTTTCCCATGATAGATACCTATTTATCAACGTTTACGTTCATTTTAATAAAATCCACGAGTGTAGGTCATAAGATGCCCGCCACCTGGCCAGTGTGATAGTAACCAGGTGAACTCGTTTTCGCGTTAACACAAATTCCCCTTTGGCCGTGCATCCAGTTTAATAGTATAAGAGAAAAATAGGCTTTCAAGACAATAAACACCAGGCACAAAATATATATTGCAAATTTTCTATGTTAATCTGAAATAAGAATATTCAATAACCACTGCAATTCACGTTCGACGAAATCGTTTAATTTCCATTATATATTTTATACAAATAGAAATTTCAAAACAAAGTGTTTTAGTCACCATTTCGTTTTTCATAGGAACATAGGCTTCATAGATATTTTTGAGCGTCCATAATTATTTTGAACACGCTAGTTAAACGGGTACGTGAATAATTTAAAGGCCCAAGTTACAAAACCCGATACTCGGATGATCCGCTTCATTAATTGCAAGTGAATTCGTTAACCATGAGCGGAGAACAGATGTTCATACATCCTCGCGTCTGGCCTTGTCCAGAGTTCGTTTAACTTGCTGCGTAAGAACGGACCGTACGAATGTTTTAACTAAACGATGTTCTTAAATGTTACGTTTTCAAATTTATAATAAATTGTTATACGCATTTCGAGCTCATCTTTCCTTTTCATTGACGAAAACATTTGTACGTACGTGTTCGAAAACATAACACTCTGGAAGTGAATTGATCGGTCCGAGCTCTTTCAAGTCGACTTTAATATATTATTGTAAATGTGTTCCTTTGTTTTGACAATTAAATGTTACGAATTTTAAGGAAAATTCTCCTGAACCGGTGTAATATTTAACAATAAATGTTGTAATGCGTTTTCTATCTAATATATAACATTCTCATGTCAGGGTGTTTGTAATTGAATTCCTCCGAAACTCCGATTTTCATCCCCCTAAATGTTAAGGGTGGTCCACCACAAACATTTTTTTCTACCCTACAAATAATTTATTTATGGCAAAACAACGTTTGCCAGGTCAGCTAGTACCGAATAAAGATATTTGAATTTGAATTGCTTATATTTAATGAAACCCCGAGAGCCAGACAGAATTATTAAGGAAGAAGATTTACGACCACTTGCATGGAGATATTTACAGTAATATTTTATATAAAATTTGATACTTCATACTTCTTTAATCCGCCTGGTGTTTGTAGTACATATTTGTAAGTGCTTTTAATGATCTGTTCTATTTTAATTACCAGGAGACAAGCATCAATAGAGGACGGTGAACGGTTTAAGCTCGAGAATGTGGAATTAATTACAACCAGTTATTTCAAGGTTCCGACGTAAACAGTGACATGTATGGAAGTCATGTACTGACGCTATGAGACAAGACGAACAAAACAAAACGTGGTCGGTAAGATATTTACATAGCTGTATAAGATTAAGCGGCGCTACATATTATTAGAAAAATAATACAATCTGTGCGCACCAAAAAGCCCTCGTGATTTTGATAAAGTTATTAAACAATGTTGAAGTTGAAGTACCTTCGAACGAAGTTGCGAATTACAATAGTGTACAACAAATTTTTATTTATTGAAAGAAAGAGATTTATTTGATATAAAACTTTGGATTTTTTTAAAGATAAACATGTAAAGTCAATTTATTAAGATTTTACTTAAACTTTGTTTTAAAAAGAGCTTAATACACATCAAATAGACAAACCTAAAGAAAAATATATCAATAGTAAAACTTAAAATAATAAAAATATCATCCAACCCCATTTTAATAAATATAAAATAGTCCATCGTTTAAAAGGTACAGACGGGCGTCGTGTTATATGGGATCGGCGGACACGCTGTGCAGCTGTCTCTTTATAAAAAGTTCTCTCGTCTCCGTGTAAAAAATCTAATGGGGAGCGATGGGGATACCAAATGCATTGTAAACCTCAATGGGGCTCTATTTTTATCTATTCCAAAGTATTTTGGTTCACGCTACGAGAGTGGGTGTTAAAAATAGTTTATATTATCTCACTTCAAATCATTTCGTCATAATAAATTTGCTGACATTTAATACATTTTTATAATAATATTGCTTATTGTACGTATGGTATTGATCAAGTTTTTCTACATATTTTAATTGATCAAGTTTTTTTAAAAATTCTTTGGGAACGAATGGTGAAATTATAAACATATTTATTGTTGCATTGACAACGTTACGATGTGCGCTTATATTTCTCATGGCAAGCTATAAAATATTTTAATACTGATGTGCAGTTCTGTAAACGAAACACTAAATATAACAAAATATGTCTCAAAGCTTTCAAGTTACAAAGTCCTTACATTTCTTTTTTCAGTTTTAAAGTAGTTTATCTAATAGTTTTGTAGTTCTTTGAAATTTTGAATAACTTAACCAACTGGTTACATACGGTATAACTATAGCACTCACTGTGTGAACGGCGCTATATAACTGTCAGTGAAACAATTGATAGAGTGGGCTGAAGTTCTCAAATTGTCCTCACGGTTATGCTTTTTACTTTTTATGATCGCGAACAGAGTAACATTAATGTATAGAGTGGTTTGGTTTAGTTTCGTGAAAGGTTAAAAAAACCAGTGGACGGCATTTTTAAACGCTTGTGAGCAGAGTCACAGCTCGAACACTTAAATGTTAATGTTATTTATGATAACTCGAAAGCTCTGTTGTGCTGTATTCTTCTAGATTATGATGAAAAGCAATCTGTTTGATAAACATTGAATAGAATTCAATTTTAATTTTAACCGTAAAGCACACTGGCTTTACTAAATAACACAGAGACAAATATTACATCTAAATTAGGTGACTTATAAAATTATTGCTAGATGAAAGAGCAAGTCTTTCGCAAATTAAGGGCCAATTCCGAAATATATTTCCAGTTTTCTAAATCAGCTGTTAATTTTTTTAAACTGTTCGAAAATTTACATTAAGTTCGTTATAGAACATTAATTTTCAGTGAATATGACATGACAGTTTTTTTTCTGCAGTGTGTAGACTTTAGTTAATTTCAATCGAAAATTTAAAAGGAAACCAGGCCGTGTTTGTATTGCATAAATAAATATGGAATATATATGGAAATATACTATCGAATTGTAAGAAAACTTAACTATTCACACTTAGGAAGATATGATATGATATGATATTCTTTAGCTAGATGTCTACTATATCAAAATAGTTTATTATATTTTTGCCATGAGAAATATATTCAAGAAACGTTAATTTTGAACACGTTTTAAAAATAATTTAATAAAATCTTTATGTAGTACGTAAACTTAATTTTTACGAAATTAAATCTACGACATGCTGTGCATTTATGTATACACATTTTTTAGTGTTCAAGTGCTTACATGCGGAATGCAGTAAATGTATTGACACATGTTTAAATAACAAAAGATTTTTATAATGCCAGAGACTTGACGCTTTTGAAAAAGGTATGGATACAAGTGTCATTACTGCGAGTATGGTTTATAGGGGGAAGGAATTCTGTTTTAATTTTTCTCCGGGAGAGTGAGGGAGATTTTTTTTACCAAATTGTCGATGTTTGCAATTTCTAGACTCATAGTATACATCCGTTTAACACTGTACCATCTCACTTGGCTTGTTTGTTAACAGTTGATTGTTATAATTTCTTGTACTTTCACTGTTTTTATTGTGAAAAGTTAGCAAGCGAGCAAGGGGTTCACCTGATGTTTAGTAGTTACCTAAGACAACTACAGTACCTGAGGGGTTGCTAATGCGTTGGAAAACTTCAAAAAGATCGGCTGCGGCTGACCTCACTCCGGAGACGAAAGGCAAAAAGTATGATACTAAATTTCACTTTACGCCTGCTCTAAGGCGTAAAGTGAAACTTTCCCAGGTTAAGGTTTGGACGCGGTGACACATGATTTGGTATTATTAAACAAAGTCGTTAGTTTCTTGTATGTGGTTGCGTTGGCATGTCTTTGGTTGGGGTTATTTCTTTGCGTTTTATCGGGGACCTGGCAATTCCTTTGCGAAAATAAATAAACAAAACATCATTATACACAACGTTATCTAAACGCAAACTAAGCAAAGCCGTTGCGAAGCAATGGGACATGTATTCAAATTCAAAATATCTTTTATACAAATAGAAGCTAGCGCGTTCTTATGAAACGTCGAATTTAACATAAACATAGGCCGTTAGTTTCCTTTCCTTTAATATTACTCTTCGGTTGTGGTTTACACTCGCCCGACGGTACTATTGCTGCGGTGTGGGGGGACGGGGGAGGGGTGGGGTCTTCACTCACTTGATGGAGGGCTCCGGGGAGCCGCCGGCGGTGGAGCACTGGAGGGCGAGCTCGCGCTCCTCGTGCGCCAGCGCGTGCGGCCCGGGGCCGAGGCGCGGCGGCTGCGGCGGCGTGAGCACCGTCAGCGCGTGCCCCTGCGCGTGCAGCGTGCGCCCCGAGCCGCCCGCCTTCACGCGGCACTCGAACCGCCCGTTGTCCCGCTCGTACGTCACGTTCGACACCAGCAGGTCGAAGCGGCCCTCCGACGGCGCGTACTTTATTCTGCACAACGGTCGTTCGACATCAACGCGGGCTCGTAGAACTAGCTAATGGAACGTAGTACTGTGCGTTTAATTATTTTTTTATTCAATGCCATTATCTTATATTATTTTCTTCTCAATAAAATATTAAGAAATAATAGTATAATAAAATAATAATTTATACCTGAAAAGAAAAATATAATTATATTATAGGTATCTGTCGACAATGCAACCTTTAACGATAATTAACCATATTCGTCTACGTCACAATAATCCCATATCGTAAGTAGGTTACTTTTAAACATTTCTATTAAACCCTACTAAAACTTTACACCTTGTATAAAATCTTTGCATTTTATCACATACCCAATTTTTTATAAATAAAAGCGTGTTACATTGTGATGAAACATTTAGCATAGTTACTCCTTCATTATTTTTCTTTTGCAATCACTGTAAGTTTTTATGGTACGAACGACTCGCGTAATGTTAAGGGGACACCGCCGCTCATGGACTTTAGTATATCAAAGGAGTTGCAAACACGTCTACACAAGATACGAAATTGATGAAATTAACCGCGAAACAAAAACCTAAATTAAAGGTTAGCAATAATAAACGCTATACTAGCTCAATGAAAGCAATGCGTGTGAAATGTTTTCGTACCGATTGCGACAGTGTTCGTGGTACTATTACGCTGCTTAGCGGTTTCGTGAATGCAACGGGCAAAAAGTCGACGCGAATCTATATTGAAACACATTTATAAAGTTCTAAATTATAACGCGACAAAACCGTTTCGGTCGTGGACAGACGAAATACATTTCGATTGAGATTCAAACGTGTTTAATAATGTGGCCATCTGGGTCTGACGCCTTTGCCGCTGCGTCAATTAAGACCGAGAATAATTTTATTAAATTGTATTTGTCGGTTGTAACATACGGTCCTATAACTGTACCCAATTGGGTTATTTGAACTCAGACTCTTGCTGCCGAATGGAATACTCGTAATCTTAAGTTTCCGTTTGCTTCATCCCAGGAAACAAATTCCACAACACAATAGACTGAGTGCGCGACAGCGCGCGAAAATTATAGTAACCCATGTAGCCATTCGACAAATTGCAATTATAATTCTTCGAATTTAAAGCAATATGACCGTTGTTAATTGAATAAGCTTATTGCAGTGCGTGTGACCTCATTCTTTAAAAAATAATCAGCAGAAATATATGTATAATGAATGTCTTGAAAAAGTATGATAGCATTCCTTTGCGATCATTGATATGTTTGCACGCTAAGAATTTTATATAATTTACCAAAAAAAATTAACGTATTACTAGCACAGAGTTCATTGTTACATTAACGCCCGGTTTCTGAAACACTGATCATAGAAGTTAACTAATTAGCTGTCAAATGGCTTTTCAAATGTCATTTGAGTTGCCAAAAGGATGCTTAAACTCTTTGAATTGATCATATCCGTGGTAGGGGAATGCCGCAGCTTCGGCTGTTGCACGAATGGGCAAGCTTGTCCGGGGAAGTACCACGACCTCATAGAAGACCTGCGTAAATTGGAAGTATAATACTTTCGCGTTTCGTCAGGTGAGTGAGGTGGCCGGAGCCCAATTTTCAAAAGGTTGTCAACGCATCTGGAACCCTCGGGTCTAGCAGATGTCCATGGGCGGCGGTATTAACTTAACATCAGGTGAACCGTCTGCTCGCTTGGCAATTTTTTACACAAAAAAATTATGATCATTAAGAAGATCATTCTGATCAATTCAGGGAGTTTAACCATCCTTTTGGCAACATAAACAACATTTGATTTTCACCATTTTTGCCAATTCAGCTGCTTAGTTAACTTCTACGATGATCAGTTCTCAGAAACCGGGCGTAAGTCTCGAAAAACCATAACGAAATAAATTGGGATTACGTAAATAATTGGCGAGCCTGTCTCGGACTCGCAGTTTCGTGGTCATTAGTGGTCGCCATTATTATGATTATATACGAACACACTTAGAAAATTGCGTTGGTGAAATTTTGTTATTAAGGCACACTCGTTCGTGGATAATGAGTATAAAGGAGTACACAGTTATATACAGGAGTATAGGAGTATACAAAGCGTTCTTTGGGTCAGCAATGATTTCTATCTGAATGCATAAAAATGTAATTATTTGCTTATTTAATTTTTGTACAGGTACGGCGCCGCAGGCACGTATTTTTAAATGCAGCGTTAAGAACACGTACAGTTGAGGAAATGAAGGTCGTAGAATTCGTTATTCGCTGTCTCTCTCTCTCTCTCTCTCTTCTACATATTTTAAACGAATGAAATCGTTTTAGTTGCAACCAAAAATTACATCTAAAGTTTCCTATTGCACCTTAATACACTTACGTGAGTTGTATTGATGTTTTTGCGTGTTCAAACTGCAAATATGGTTTGTAAATTATATATACACCGTATATCAGTGATTGGAGATTTTAGTACGTACCTACTTACAAGTTAAAAAATGTGGAGCGATCGACTGTCATGTCATTTTTAGATTCCTAATTAACAGCTCCCTATATCATCTGGTCTAATCGGTTTCTATGTTGAAATATCTCAAACGTTCGACCATATAGATTCACCGGCACCCCTGTACTGTGTGTACTATCAGCACGCGCTTGATTCACTGCGCAAATTTGAAAGGGAATGATCGATTGACACAGGATTGGAAAAATCAAAATACAATACATCGTTTGCGATACGTGTGTGATATCGAGTGTGCACGTTCTATTAGTATTGAGGACGAGGCATTGTAATGTCTACATCGGCATACCATCACGTTTAACACTGCTTTTTATTCCAGGCGTGACTCGCTGTTGACTTTTTCGCGACGTACAACATCAAAGATCGATTCCTAATGTTCTGCGAACCGCGTTTTCAACCTCTTCTCTGGTTGTTTGATGTAAAATTGGAGATAGATATGAGAAGATACCAACTTACAAAGCCTATACGAAGAAATAAAAAAAATCTAAATGTGTATATAGATATTTTCAGCCCGTGCCACACTATGCAAAGCTATGCGCACTAGGCAACTGACTCTCTCTACTACTAACTAGGCACTCGCGGCCGAACTCAGAAAGTTAACTAGAAAAGTAGTCTTCAGCGCTTATCGACGCCTCCATACTCACTGGTAGTTAGTCTCTAGCGGTATGTTCCCGATTGCGACGTTGTCGTGGCCGCTGGCCGTGTTCCGCACCCAGTAGTAGGTGAGGGACTCCCCCGCGCTGGGCTGCAGGGTGAAGCGGCACTGGAGCGTCACGTCGTCTCCCTCGTGCGCGTCGTGTTGCTCGTCCTCCGCCAGGGCGGCGCATACTGTGAGAAAGAGAGCGTTGCAACCTTTGACATCGAGAGACTAGCACATGTAAGTTTTAAACTGCAGTCATGAAGCGGCCACATATTATTCATTGGATGCCTATGAATCTACTAGTAGAAGGGCGAACAGCAAGGAAGTATCACCGGTAACTTTTTTTTAAGCACTGTCCTTACTGTAGGACAACATTGTCCTGTGTTGCATGGACGTTTTACATAGATAATTTTTTCATGGACAAACACCCAGATCCGAAACAATTATCTGTCATTCACACAAATAACATGTGGGAACCGAACCCACGATCCCTGTCGCCGCAGCCAATACTTTAACACCTGCGTCACGGAGTCAACTGTTAACAATACTGTACACATTGTTGTGATAACATTAGCTATCATGTATATTGTCTAAGCATAAAAACAAATCACTCTATTCTAAAATATTTCCTTATAAACTGTTATTCACTTTATACAATAAATAGTGATAGTAGCAATATATCAATAAGAATACGTATTTACAGTATTGTTTTATATAGAATTTAAAACATTAGTATATTTCGCATTAAAACAACGTACTAACCAAAAAAAATACAAATGTTTTGGATTCGTATGTTCATGTTTCTATTATAAATTTAATCTACAACAACCACCGATATTCCACCGGCAATCGAAATAGACTAAATACAAAACTGTTTACTCAAACAAAAATATCGCTATCCAGTTAATGTTTGATCACTCGTGGAGCGAGATTGATTGTAAACGCCCGACGCCGCATGCCGTGTCTACAAAACATTGAATTAAGTACGTGGCGTTACATCAGTCCGAATCGATTCAACACAGCCTGATACCAACGACCCTAAAGAAGCGTCTTCTATAAACTAGGCTATCATAAAAACGGTCCGTGCCGTGTTGTTCAAAAAACGGATTGCCATTAGTTGACTGTATCGGAAATCGAAAATGGTTTGGGTTGATTTTGAAAGTGTTCATAAGAGAATCTCCATTGATTGAATCGAAAGGATTATAACACTGGCGGTCGTTTGTAAGATTTGATATACGCCCTAACAGTACTTGCAAAACACATGAAATGTCAGAAATTGAAAATTATATACTCCTAATATATTCTATTATATTTTTTTCTAAACTGTGTTTGTCGATTTGTGGCAGGAGCAGAGAAATCATTCGACATGGTTTCGGCAGTAGTGTATAGGAAAATTACAGTAAATATTCCTGAATGGAAGATGTGGCTAATGGGATCACTTTCAAGCCAAAAAGACACTTAAGGACTGATAAGAAAACTATTTATTTCAACTTAAACATTGTGACCTTATTTTTGACGAAACTTAATCATTATGAAATTTATATAAAATACAAGAGTTATGTATTTAAGAGTACGATTTTAAGGAAATTAATCAAATTTGACACAATTCAGTCTAAAGAAATAAAACTAACATTCCAAATTTAAAGTAATTCAAACATAATACATAAATCAAATAGGTCAGAGTTGACATCAAACGAGTATGTATAATCTGAGATTCAAATATCAAATCAAATCAACAAATATCAAACTTACTATAATTTTCAGAAATAAAAAGCTCCTTCAGTGACTGTTATTCGCATCAATAAACATAATTACCGAATATATTTTTTTGGATATTCTTACTAGGCTTTAACAGTTAAAAGAATGACATCGAAACAAATTATATTATAGTTAAATAAGTGAATCAAGATAACTATTTTACTTGCTAGAAACGCAGATAGTAGTATCATAGTCAAAATTTCTTTATTCATCATCTATCTTTATTGAATGTGAAATAACAACCGCCGGTTCATAAAATCGGACCTGTCCAGTTGAAAAACCGGTAAGAAACTCTGCGGTTTTAATTAATTATGTACACAAAAGTATTTAAGTATAAAATCAGCAGTAGCCAGTGGACTTGCAATAGCAGAGCAAGAGTCATTTCTATACATTCTTGTCCTCAATGTATTCTTAAAAGCCCCTTCCATTAAGATAGCTTATACTAAAGAATTTTTGATATTTTTAGAGCGAAATATTTATAAAAGATTCAATTCCTTATTTTTTTTTAAATAAAATAGTGTATGGAGAAATAGGGTGATCGTTCAGGTAGGCCACCGACCTTAGTGCGGACAAAAAAAACGAGCGACGGCTCGGGTTTGGTGATACGATTTCCTGTGTATTGTCGATGAATCGACAACAAAGCGAATCGGGCGGTAATGGAAACACAATGGGGCTTTTAATCCGTAAATAGATGTCGAATCAGGGAAATGAGGAAAATTGGAGCGATCCGCTTCGTTATACGAGTCGTTATTCGATATCAATTAATGCTTAAATACACAGCATCCTTTTTTAATAAAACCTACTTGAAGTGGAACTTATTGTCGCGTGAAGGAACGCGAACTTTCGTGAAATTAATACATTGGGCCGTGACAATGTTCGCGCGCTCGGTTTTAATTTAGTATTCTCAAACATTTACTAGCGAAGTGTTGACATCACACAATCAGCGGTTAAGTAAAACGTCATGAAGCCTGCCTGGTTTCGTATCTGAAAATGGTAAAAAGAATTTAATCCCTCAAAGATTTGCGAAGTCTGCCAATCCACAGTGGGGTCCCGTGGTGGACTACTCTCTAATAATTTCTGTACAGAGGAAGCCTTGCCCTGGCACATATAAATATAGGCTGTTTACTCTAAGATATTCAACTATCCGAGATAAACAAAACGAAGGTCGAACACTAACGATTTTCAATAGATGCTCACAACGTTCACGATTATTTTCAACCGATTTCAAAAAAGGAGGACGTTGCGATTTTTTTTATGTGTGTAAGCTCAGAACTTTTTTAATTATGAACTTATGCTCTTTTGGCCTCATGTTCGGTTTTTTTTTCATTGACTCACAATACCAGGTACGTGTTTGCCAACTCATTGAATGAAGCGCAAAAGTATATAAACTTTTAGTTGAAACCGGTCTTCCGTGTGGTGTCTAGCGAATCGGTTTTTATCGTATCCAGAACCTAGACAACGTTACCTGTTAAACATTCGTCAGTCGTAGCCTAGGTTCGAAGAAATCGTTCTTGTAATATTTTTAATTTTTCAAAAAAACTATAGCCATCTAGCAATTACGCGATATTATCGATAATGACGAATATTTGGCTGTGAATCAGTCACAGCCAAATATTCGTTTCAATTAAGTGGCCGTAAACCGGAAAACAGATCCGGCAACTCGGGCTTCCTAGAATTGTGTAGAACTTTCGAATGTTATATATGCAATTAGGGTCATTCGCAAGTCCATTGCCTGTACGTCTTAACTCACTGTTAGGACTCGTTGTGACCTTAATTTAATAATCTTCAAAATTCAACGTCTAAATAAATAACAAATGTGGTACACTTGAGATTTATATTTTTAAAACAAAGAAACAAAGAAAACTATATAGTTCATCCGAATATAGTGGATAAAAGAGAAATGAATTTAGATGTTACAAACAAAGATTAATTAAAATAACTGAGCCCATTCATACATAAAATAGCAAAGAATGGCATTACTTTAAAAATGTTGAACGAGAAAACCATGAAATCTCCCGTCAAGCACGTGCGTAGGTAGGTTTAAAATCGGGTGGGCCTTGTCACGGTCATATAATGGAACACAACAGACCTTAATCAATCTAACTTGACAAGGAACATATAAACATAAGTACATAATATATTGCTGCCATAAAACTTAAAACAGCACTTCAATTAGAGAATAACTAGGATACGTTCGTGCATTTGCTAAGTTCAGTTTTAGACTTACTCTTTTTACTTACGTTACGACCCAACTCGACAAAGAATTTAAGCGTAAATTACGTCTCTGGCGCGCTGTTAAACTTCGAACGTAAATACGGGCTTGTCGTTAACAAACAAATACAAGTTCTTACGAAAACAAATAACAATTCCTTAATAGTTGTTTGATAGCTGCTGGTTTCGGTGTACCATGTGGTCACAAACATCGAAAGAAATGCAATGGCATAGCACGCGTCCGACTCAAGAAAAATGTTAAAAGTAAAAAAAGAAGTAGCATAATGAAATAAAAAAAAATATTACAAAATTATTTATTCCGTACGCAATCGATGATTTTTTTATTCCATTAATTAGGTTAAAGTAACGGTTGGAGAGCTCAATTAAAGTGCACGAATGACTGGTATTACGTACAAATCTTCACGGGCCACTTGTAACATTTTACGTTGGCGTTCTACGCTTTAATGGGGAAAGTGATTAAAAATCGGTTATGAAATTGGAAAGCAAGTCGGCTGTAAGAGAACTATCGAAGGTAAAAAACGGTACGCGGTCGACGCGGGCGCGGCTGGAGGTCAATGACACGGGGTCGCGTGCGCCGCGCGCCTTTCGAAAGCAGCGCTGCCAACTGTCTGCAATGCATTTGGACAAGTCTCGCTTGTTGATATTATTTAGAGTTTATTTCAGCGACATCCCGAAGCTGTTATATTAACGCGAATATTATATATTTTAACAAAACTAATTTACAGATTATACAGAGGATTTTTTTATGATAAACATGATAAGATCCGTAAATTAGTTTTATTAAAATCTCGATTATGGTCTTTGTTAAAATTATCCATACCTACCTTCCACGCCCGAAGACTTATGGTAGAAACCGTAACGAGAATTGACGAGACAATATTATATCCACTTAGAAAACTCGTGATGGCGTCCGCATTTACTTTCCGATAACTGGTAACCCTTGTGTTGCTTGCATCCGTTTATCTTCACCTTATCTCACGCGTTTATCGAAATTTCAAGTCACACGAAAGGTTTGTTGACGCCCTACTTTTTTCACAATGAACAAAGACAAATTTTATCTCGTCTCTTCAGAACTTTGTCACATTAAAAAGAAATAAGTAACTTTTCTTAATAAATATTGAGCATAAGAGTATGGATACAAAATGTTGCATCTATTTTGAACTCTATATGCATACAAAGGGAGGTTGGATACAAATGA